CCTTGTCTCTCTCTCTCTCTCTCTCTCTCTCTCTCTCTCCCTGCCGACAGCGCGACACACACAAATAAAAGCTTACCGAAAATAATGAGATACTCGGTGATGCTCGCGTGGATAATGTACATGGCGCCCATTGCGCCGCCCGCATTATTAAACACCCATTCCTCCTCGAGATTAATGTGCGCCGGGTACGTTGCGCTCAGCTCGTCGACAATGTATCGCACCGCGCCGCGCGTGTCGTTACCGTGGCGGTCGACGCTGCGCTTGGCCAGGTCCTGCAGGTGGTCCAGCTCAAACACGTAAAACTTGTCGAGGTTCTGCTCCGCCACGTACACGACCGAGGCCAGCAGCGCGGTCAGGAGACCGAGAATGGCGAGGAGCCGGCCGATGCCGCCAGGCGCGGGAGCAGCAGCGCTGCCGCCGCCGCCATTGTTCTTCCTTTGCGATTTCGAAGGCATCTCTTCTCTTTCTGACTCAGTCACGTAACGAGCGAGTAACTGGAAAGATACGCGAAGCAAGGTGAGAAGAGTCGAATTGGAAAAGGATAAAGCCTTCAAGAAAGCGCCCAGACTGCAATCGCGGACGCACTCGCTTATTAGTTGCTAGGGAGAGTCGAACTCCTTGAGCCAATGTGCCATGATCCACCGCCTGGAGATTTTTTTGGAGTAAAAGGCTGGGGCGGCACAGCGGACCCTAGGACCCCGAACGCTAGTCGCCTTATTCGTGTTCGTGACCGCGTATCAACATTCTTTGTAAAAAGCAAATGACATACAACGATATTAAGTCATAAGTGATAGGGCTTGTTCTTTCCGAATGAACAATAGAAGCAGAAATTTGACTCTTTGCATACATCATCTACAATGCGCAATAGTAAGCGCAACCATTTTCCAGATTCCATGTTCCGTAAACCCGTGCAACTCCAACCTTAGGCAGAAAAAACCAGCTCCATCCTCCTTCTCTCCATTATTACAATATACACATGCAGAATAAGGAAATCACATACACCCCAAGCAACCCCTCTTGCTCTTATTCCATGTCCGAGTCGGCCATCATTTCTGTGCGGTCAGCTTCATCGTCGGCCAGAATGGTCTGCTCCAGTCCGTCGCCCAGAGCAGTCTCGTCGCCATCGTCCAAATCCATGTCGTCCATGCCTCCGTCTCCGTTGGCGTCGTCTAGACCATTAACATCGTCGTCGTCGCCATTCTTGTCCGCGTCGTCGGCCTTGAGCATCTTGACGGGCGCGACGACGCCCTGGTCACTGCCCAGCCAACGGACCAGTCGGCGTTGAGAGCGTCGGAAAGCGGCTGCGTATGCCTTAACGCCCTCGCCATAGTCGTCGCGCTCATCGACAAGCAAGCACAGGCCACCAATGCCCGATTCACGGAAAACCTTGGAGCGACCGCCCAAGTTACGAGGTGGGTCGACATCGCTGTCACTATCATCGCCTGGTCTCTCCGGAGCGTGGACACGCCTGTACGCTCGAAAGATGGCACCTTCGCGACGACGCTGCTTGCGGCTCGCACGCTGCGCTTTGCGAAGGCCCTTTTCTAGAATATATTCCACACGCTGGCTTCGGTTGCGCTCCACGGCTAGTTGGTGTGCTGTGGGTGGGCGAGGTTTGCGCGAGATGACTCCTTCAGAGCCCTGGCGTGCCGGGGAGGACCCCTCAAATACCTGGTACTTGAGAGCAGCACCTCTCCTAGCACCACTGCCCCGGCCACCGCGTGGAGGCGGTGTAGATCGGGTACTGTCCATGTCCGATTCGTGCTTGGACGGGCGTATGCGAGGTAGGATGGCGGGACCCTCTTCGTTGAGCGATACCCGTGCCTTGCCGCGTTTTGCGTCTCTATCATTGATGAATGCCTGGTCCATTTCCAAAATTCTTGCTCTGGTGCGCTGCTTCTCTGCGCCAAAATCCTTTTCCGTTTGCGTGTCGATATTTTCAAGAGCCTGCTCCTCTTCCGTCATGAGATGCAGACGGGGTACACCCTGGTTGGCGACACCAACATTGTAGTCAACGCCACTACCAAACGGATTTTCCTCGCAGCCCTCTTCCGTGAAATCAGATTCGAGGTGAAACCACATGAGCCACAGAAAGGCTATGGCTCGTGACTGGCTGCTGTATTCTGTCTTCATGATGACATCGTGGAACTCGTTACCGTCGGGAAAGTGTAGATCGGCAATCTTTCTTGCAGCAGCGCACATGATGAAGATGAGATTGACGGGGTTCGTTCGCGGTGCCGCATCTATTTCCTTGAGCTTTTGTAACGTGCTCGGCTCCTCCCGATCTTCGGCGCCACCTTTAAGGATGGACTTGAGACGAGGAGCATCCTGCAGCTGCTTGTATGCGTGGGCATCCTGGTTTGCTTGGAGGGACGGAATGGCGTGGTATGTTCGCAATTGAGCTCTCATCTCGGGAAAGACTATACACGTTAGCAATACGGCAAGTCGGTACGGGCCTGCGCTTGGAGCTTACAATTGAGCGTCGTGTTCATCCTGCCGACATTGACCAGTAGACAAACCATGGCCATACCCTTGGCCGCCTCTCTGTCATTCAACAGCTTGTCGCGCAAGACCTTGCTGGTCTTACTGCTGCGCGCCATGGTATCGATGTAGAGATCGGCAAAGGTTTGCTTGCCGATGGCCGGATCGTACGAGTTGGTGAAGACCTTTTTATCATTATCAAACACGGCCTTGAGGAAATCGTATTGGATATCAACACGCCACAGAGGTTCGCCATCCTCCTTTTTGAGGTGGCGAATCTTGCCGATCTGCTGCACAGCAGCATCGCGCTGCGAGGCTCGGCCTCCCTTACGGGGTCTCTCTGTCACTTGCGTGTCGTCGCCGATATCTTCATCATCGCTGCCGACACGGGAGTTGGTAGACTTGCGTTCAGCTGCGACGGGCGAGCTAGGGTGGTCGACTTCTGACGTTCCGGCGACCGAGGTAGGCGAGGCGGCCATGGCACGATGATGTCGCGATGGGTCGCAGATGAAGATCAAATTAAACGTGTGCAGAGATGGTGGAAATCAGATGCGCATCATCGAGAATAGTGAGGCAGATGGTGCTTCGAAATGGATGGCAATATGCTCCCAATAAGGCCGTGATGTGGCAACGCTCAATGGGTGATGATGGGAGAAAACACGAGTGCAACAAAGGCGCAAAGGTCGTGGAAAATGCTCACCAACTTCCAGGCTCTACTATGGTGAGGTGCGCAACGGGCGCCGCCGCCACGGCACCACCCAAGCCAGTCACAGTGTCAAGGGATGTGGCTGCGTCTGGCGCGCCGTAGTGTGACTAAGAGCTGTTGACTCTGGCCACTTGACGCATGAGAAATAATAAGATTTAGAGCGTACTTTACTTTAAAAAAGTCATGTAATATTGCTAGCAGCGGGCTTTCGAGGATTTAGCTAGTCTGATCAAAATTTCAAATCACCCGACGCTCTCAAAGCAGATCGCGCGGCTTCAAGTGGCTTGTGTCTGGCCAGTGTGCTCCCCACCCCGAGCTGGCCTGGAGGCTGGAGTCGTGTTTTGCTGCTCCAGCCGCTGTAGCAACAAACTCAAACACCATCAACAACATCGACAACTACCCCCGGGACAACCAATTCACCACGCAGGCTTCGGCCTTGACGACGACGATACTAACCTACAGCTTCTAACCTCTGATTGCCACTTCACCCGAGTGCGTGCAGCATCTCGATATCTTCTCACCACACGAACTACGCCCAGCCGCCCCAACCTCGCCCTGTTTGCTACAACCACCAGTAAACACACAACAAACTTTCAACCCTCCTATACACGCCTTCATACACACAATACATCCATGGCGACACCGACAAGAGCGACGCCGGTCAAGGCCGCCCCGGTGTCGGTGACGGACAGCCCCGGCACCTGGCGCCATCCTCGCCTCGACGAAATCACCCGCCGTCGGGAAGCCACGACCTTTTCCGAGAAGAATGTCCGCCGCATAGCCTACAACATCATCGCCCTGCTCTGCTTCTGGACCATTAGAATCCTCGTAAAAATGTACATCAGTCCTCCAAGGTACGGCTATCCCCGCTTCCCTCTCACCCTCTTCAAAGGACAGCATGTCTAATTGTTTTGTTCTTGTCAACACAGCTTCTCACCCGCGGCTCGATTATACATGGGATGGGCATGGACCGTCATCCAGACTATCCCACTTGTGCAGATTGCGCTCGCCTGCACGCCGCTGCTTCGCGCCCGCGACGAGATGAATGACATTCCGCTGACCGCCGCCCAGCGCAAGCTGCTCGGTCTCGAGCTCGCGCCGCCCGCATCTTCTTCCCCCAGCGCCGCCGCCGCGAGCGCAGACTCGACATTTAGCACGCCCCCGCGGTACTCGCGCACCCCGTCCATTGCGGGCTCGGTTGGCAGTCGCGGCAGCTACACGCACTCGCCGCTGTCGGGACGCGGCAGCCCGTTTCAGAGCTCCGCGCCCGGCTCGCCGTTCTCGCCGCCTGTCGACAGCAGCCCGCTTCTAAGCAAGAACGGCGGCAGCAACCTGTTTGGAGGCGTCGCTAGTGGCAATCGAAGGGCGTCCACGTCGGGGAGCCCTTTTTCGGCGAGCACGACCATGAATCCGCTGGGGGACCCGGCGTCGCCGAGCCCAGCCGGTGGCAAGAGGACGAGCGTGGGCTTGAACAGCAAGTGGTTGTACGAAAAGGGTCGGCGGTCGTCGGGCAGCGCTTGGGTGCACTAAATCAAGTGGGATGCGTTAAAGTGAAGAATACGGTAATAGCTGTGGATGTTTCTGTTTCTGGTTCATGTTTGATTTGGCAAGGCGCACGCACCAATGCATCATAGCACGAGCGGATAAAGGGCACGATAAACTTGTTTGTCACTTTGATATAGTAAAACCAGCGCACACTATCTAGATGATGTTGAAACGAGACAATACACAATCCAATCATGCACTCTTCTCGCGAAGCCAAGCCTCGCAGTGTACAATCTCAGACATGCTCCGTGCAGCGGTACGCTGGAGCAAATTCCAAATCAATCTTTTTGAAAAAGAAGAATTTTCTGGAGCGACCAGGCACCCCGAGGTGCACGGCCCAAACAAAAACAGACCGGACAGGAAAGCTTGGAACAAACGACAAGAACTATAGAAAATCAACCTAAACCCCAGACAATGCTAGATAAATGACAGCATAAATAGAAAGAGACGGAGTGGAAAGCTCAGAAGTGCGGTCGGAGGCGGATTCGGGGGTTTGCTTTCTTCTTTTCTCCTTTTTTTTTTTGCTTTTCACCAGCTGTCAAGGCCGAGACCGCGTCTCTCGCAGTAGCCAGGCGCCTTAGGCTTTGAGTTGGCCCAGCTCATGACGGTCAGCGAGGTCGTGTATACCATGGTGAAGAGGCCAAAGACGCAGAGGAGAATATCGGAGTACTTCCAGAGACGGCTTCTCGCGACGGCCTTATAGTGTAGAAGCGGCTATGCATTGTTTCCTCGTTAGCAAATGCCGTTTTCATTTTGCATGTGTCTGTGTGCGTGTTTCGCAGCGTCAACACTTACCGGATAGATAAAGACGAGCGGAATGCAGGCAAAGTTGCCCACCAGGGCAACAAACTTGTCGAGGTTGTCGGCGCCGCCCCAGGCGATCCCTGCGCAGAGCATGACGACGAAGAAGCGAAACACATTCTTCTGCCATTTAATGTACGGGTTGTACTTGCCGCTGCGCGTAAACAGCTCCGTCTCGACGATGCGAATGGCGGGAAATATTTGCAGCGGCGTGGAGAGCAAGATGGCGACCGAGTAGAGTAGCTGGACCGTGTTGACGAGCTTGTTGTCCTGAGGCAGGTTGAGCAGCACGACCGTCTCCGTCTTGGAGCCGTAGGCGGCGTAGGAGAAGGCGCCCATAGTCGTGAAGAGCACCGTGATGATGATCATGACGAGGAAGAGCACGCGGGGAAACTTTTCCGGCTGCTTCATGGATTCCTGGATGGGGATGATGAGCCCGATGCCCTCGAAAGTGAAAATGGCGGTGCCGATGAAGAGCGTCCAGTCGCGCTTGTTGAACATGATGATGTCGGCGATGCCGTCGGTGGCTAGGGTCAGCACGTCGTAGTAAAAGAGGTAGCCGAGGCCGATGAGGATAAAGGCGTCGGCGATGAGGGCCGTGAAGGCGAGCTTCTCAATGTCGCGGAGCAGAGAAAATGGCAGGAAAATTACCGTTTGCATGAGGATGAGATGGGGAATGCTGATGGACGTCTTACAGTCGGAGACGGCCTTGATAAAGGCCTGCAAATTCTCCGAGGTAAAAACAGTGTAGGCGGCGACGAAGCCGATCTGGCTTATGACAATGGAAAAGAGAATGACGGCACGCATCCAGCGGCCGTAGAGGATGCCGCCCATGTCGCCAAAGGAGCCGTCAATCTTGAGACGCGTCGAGACGAGCAGCACGAAGCAGTAGTAGCTCAGGAGCGCCACCCCCAGAAGAATGAGGTTACTAAACAGCATGCCTCCGCTGAGGTAGGCCTTGGGCAAGAACAGAACGCCGGTGCCGACAAAGGACTTGAGGAGCAGCATCGCGGCGTTGGTGGGGCTGTTTTGACCGCTGCCGCCGCGCGTCTTCCTCTTGCGCTTTCGCTTGTGTGGGGGAAGTAGCGCGCTGTCCTCCATGGGCTCGTGCTCGTTGTCGGCGTCATCTTCGTAGTCGTCGCCAAAGTACTCGTTGGGCCCAAGCGCCTCGTCATCTTCTTCCAGCTCCTCGCCTGCAAAGTGGCCGTAAATCGACAGAAATTCCAAAAAGCTCGACGTAAATAGGCGGTCGTTGCCGGCCCCGCCAGGCGAGGGGACGCCGTGCTCGGCCTCAGACGCGTTGCCAGACGGGCTCTTTGCCGTGCGTCGTAGATGATCTCTGCGGAAGCCGCCGGGGACTTTGATGGTGTTGATGTCCTCGACCTCGTTCTCGGGTTCGGGGCGCGAGTGATCGAAGCTCTGGCTGCGATGCAAGCGGCTCTTAGCCTCGGCCTGCTCCGTCCACTTGTAGATACCGCGGGTGACGTCGCCGCCCTGCAGACGCAGGCTGGAGAACTCGTCTTCGTTGAGACCGGCACCGCTGGCATGCTCGAGCTGCTTGCCCTTGACGGTGCCATGAACCGAAGACTCCTCAGAGGCGCCACCAGCCTCGGCCTCGCTGGGCTGCACGAGATGGCGCTTCACGATCTCGGGGTCCTCATATGGGCCTGTGCCGCCGGGACCACCTGCACCACCACCACCACCAGTGCCTGCACCCATGTACATGCGTCTCGAGTCAAAGGAGCCATAGTTTATGGGCGTGGTGCCGGAGACTATGGGAAGATTGGCAGGCGAGAGAGATCGGCCTGGCGGCGGCGAGGCGAGGCGGACGGGCGGCGTGCCATGTCGTGGCGGTGTTTGACCGAGCGAGCCAGCAAGGGCGGCGGCGAGGGCCGAGGTACCAGGTCCTTGGCTGTAGGATCCAGGAGGAATATCGCCGTCATTTTCAAAAGCACCGGGCTTGGGCGAGCCGCTGCGGTTGACGGATGGCGTCTCGGCTGGGACGGGGGCGGCGAGGCGGGCGGTGACCTCATCGCGCGGCAACGAGGATGAGTAGATTTGTGGCTGCGACATGGGCGAGGAGGACAGCGGGGGCGGGTTCGAGTCGGTTCCGGTTCTCGAGGGCGACGCCATGATTGCGATAGTATTTGGATATCGGAGTCAGGCTTATCGCATGTTTTGGAGCAACGAGGGAAACTCAAGGCAGCGAGCTGTCGAGAGCCAAAGGGGAGCTGGAAAGAGGCGGTCCGAGCTGCCTAGGTAGGGTGGGCACCAGAACGAGTGCGTGCGGTAAGCAAATGGCGGCGCAAACCAATGTCTGATGGCAGTGTGAAGCAGAGCCGGACGAGGAAAAATGAAGCCCTTTCGAGTCTGTGTGGAGTGTAAACAAGCAGGCGAGGCAGTCGAGGCAGCGGGTCCGAGTGATAGTTATCAAGACCAAACAGAAAGAAGCTTTTAACAAGGTCGTGCCGTTGGATGTCGGCTGACGGGATCACGCTAGGCCTCAACAAGATGTACGTAGGTACTGCGAAAGCCTCAGCCACCACCAGCGACGAATTCGAAAAACAGCAAAACCAAGAGAAAAAAAAGACAATGTCCTGATAGATAAAGAGAAAAATAAGCACTAAAAGGAAATGCTCGTAGCACCTGACCTTTTTGAAGCAAAGCGTCAACGTGTCGGCGAGACGCTGTGCAGATTGGTAGTTGGAGGCCTGTAGATAGGGACGCGTTGAGTAACAGATATTGTCATGTCATGGGAGAATGCGCCGCGGCGGGGCTTTAGCAGTAGAAATATTTCTGTGTGCCGATTATAGTCCGGCGCATTATCATGGTCTCTACGAATGCGAGACATTGGCAAGAGGAGGCTGGATACTTGAACGAGCTTACTGTGATGGCATCAGCTCGTCTCAGCTACATGCAGCGGCGCCAAGTAGTGTGTGCTATCACCGCCATTGGACCCCAGCTTCACGTTGCACGGGAACTGCCGAATTGCTGCGGGCGAGAAGAATCTGTCTTTGCATTTATGACTATTGCGCGCTTTTCGATTCGTGTATTAAGATATCCGTATTGTTGTAATCCATACTGCTCTAATGACTATTAGCGGGTACCAGAGCCGACTTGAACTGACCCCACGTTAATGAACAAGGTAGTGCGATTTGCTCCGTCCATGTGGTGTTTTGAGTTGCATCTAGTTGCAAAACTTCGACTCTCCTTGCTAGATAGACCAGCAGTTGGGGTGTCAACGGAGGTTTCGGCATGTGGACGAGACTCGGGGAAATTCTTTGCTTTCACAACATGACCGCACGCCACCGCACCACGGAAGCGTGCCCGATCCTCCCAGCGGGTAGCGTCGAATCAGTAAGAAGCTGTTATACCGAGAATCCACGTCTATCAGTTCAGAGATAAAGAATCAGCTGTGCTATTGCTGTGGCGCCATCACCTGGCACATCTTTGCCCAGACCGCAGGAGACTTGTTTTAGATGCCCGCGGGAGAAAGATGGTTGCGAAGTCGGGCGTTTGCTCTCATGACTTGGATGGTCGACACCAGTACCATGGGTGTCATCTGTTGTATCGCACGCGCGCGAAAAGATGGTTTCGATTCCCCAGAGTACCGTAGTGGTGGCACCTGGTGAAGACTGGGCCAACGTCACTGAGCGTCGGACTGGGATGCTAGCGTGGGGGCCCAAGAGGGAAGATTGAGACCCTGCGTGCGGCGGGACTCCATTGGGAGTATTTGCTGATACGAGCGCTTAGCGGCCACGATACGAGATATGTTGGGGTAGGGAGGATAACGGTGGTTGCAGAGGTCAGTATAAAGTACATCAATCAGAGGTCTCAAGGTGTCTCAAGTGTCTCAAGCTTCAGCGGGCACGGCAATATCTAGGTTGCTAGGTAAGGTGGTAAGGTATTCGTAAGGCAGGTGCAACGCCCGTAAAACGTGGGGTCGAGCAGCTGACTGACGCTAAAGCTCGCTCGCCTCGTCCGCTGTAACCCTCGCAGCTGTTCCGCTGTATTCCCGAGCAGGAGGCAACTTGATGTTTACCGGTTCAGTGCCTCGATATAATTCTCGCGCAGCTACCCAGGCACAATCATGAATTTATAGACATTAAGGGCAACCGAACGAGACCTTTGTCGCTCCGCTGTACTTACGTCTGGGGTATTTGGTGGTGATTTGCTTTAGATACTTTGGCCCCAGTAGAAAACCTGATAAGCTGATAAGTAACTAAAGGTACAGGAGTGGCGCTTGTTATACTTGGCCGCATATTGCAACAACCAACTGCCAATGGACCCTGACATGTTGCAACTGATACTAAAAACCTGGGCTGTCTCACAAGACACCGTGAAATTTCTAGTCTGCTTCTTGTTTTCCGATTTCAACAATACTCGACTTGACTCGACTCGACTTGACTGCTCACGTCCTTTCCGCGACTCCTCTTTCAGGGTAGCACAGCCTGTTACCGCCACAAATCACCGCCAAACGGCTGTCGCCGTAGCGCCGCTATTCGTGCCTTGGTATTAACACCGGGCACTGTGAATCTCCATTCCAGGCTTGGCAGCCCGCTAAACAAAACAGCCGTACTACATCCGCTGAGGTCATCGTGCAGCTTTCCCTCCATCCTCAACCCTTGGGCTTTGCGGATCAAACGGGACTCCTGCCCTCGGAGATTACCGCACTTCACCATATGCATCGCCATTTCCCGGATATATCTGTTTTGCCATCTGTCATTCCCGCTCTGCTATTCTTTTCGACTCTCGATCTAGTTTGTCTCTCAAACGACGCACTACTTGCGATGCCGACGTCACAGCCATAGCTCTCCTTGTCCCACATCGCCCTCTCACTGCACCATGCCGCAATCTCCAGATCCTCTTAGCCATGGCCCGCCACCGCAAGAGGCTAAGAAGTCGGTCAAACTGGGTTTGACCTCGGGCGTCTTTATTCCCGTTTTTCTGAATATTCTCAGCATTCTCATGTTTCTGCGTTTTGGTCTAATCTTGGGTCAAGTTGGCTTTCTCGGCTTTCTAGGTGTGACCCTCCCAGCACTCAGCTCTACTATGCCGAAGGATACTGGTACAAATACTAATCATATCCGTAGCCTTGATGCTCACCGCATACTGCGTTGATTTACTCACGACCCTTTCCCTCTCTGCCATTGCATCCAACGGAGAAGTCAAAGGTGGTGGTGCCTACTATCTAATATCGAGGTCCCTCGGGCCGGAGTTTGGCGGTTCCATTGGCATACTGTTCTTTCTCGCACAAGCTCTCAATTCTGCCATGAATTGCGTTGGACTCATTGACTGTATACGCCTTTATGTCGGCCACAACTTCCCACAGGGCTATTGGACGAGCTATGCACTACAGACTGCAGCTCTCGCACTCTGCACTGGTCTCTGCCTTTTGGGTTCAGCCGTCTTTTCCAAGGCCTCAAATGCCTTGGTCGTCATCATGATACTGTCCATAACCAGCATTCCTATCTCCGCCGTATTCAAATCGCCATTTCGAGACTTGGAAAATGGAGTGGAATTTACAGGCTTCAGCTTGCAGACGCTTAGCAGTAACATGCTTCCACCAACCAATACCGCCGTGTATCAAGGCGTAAAGACTTTCCGTGACTTGTTTGGAATCCTTTTTCCGTAAGTTGTTGTATGCCGACCCATCCTCCAGCTTGCTAACTTGAGCCAGAGCTACATCTGGCATATTTGCTGGTGCTTCCATGTCAGGCGACTTAAAAAACCCAAGTACCACCATTCCAAAGGGCACGCTTTGGGCCATGTTTGCGACTTTTATCGTATACTTGGTCGTTATAGTATCTATGGCGGCCTCTACCACCCACGCTTCGTTTCTGGCAAATGCGAATATTCTATCTGCCACCAGCCTGTCTAGTCCAATTATTTTCGCCGGCGAATGTGCTGTGACATTCTTTTCTGCGACGATGGGAGTCATTGGTGCTGCCAAACTTTTTCAAGCACTTGCGAAAGACAAACTGCTGCCTGGACTGTCAATCTTTGGCAAGGGCACGAAGAAGGCGGATGAGCCTATTCTTGCTGTTCTCTTGACATACACCATTGCCCAAGTGGCCTTGCTGGCAGACTTGAATCAAATCGCGACATTGATTTCCATGGGCTACCAGGTACGTGTGCAACATGAAGACTGTCCGTACACTTGCTAACAAAACAGATGACTTTTTTCGTCATGAACCTGGCCTGCTTTCTGCTCAAGATTGGCTCCGCTCCCAATTTTCGACCTGGCTTCAAATTCTTCAGTTGGCAGACGGCACTCGTCGGTAGTCTGTTGTCTGCTGCGGCCATGCTCTTTATCGATGAGACTTATGCCGCCATGGCCATTTGTGTCTTGATTGCCACATTCCTCATCATACACTACCTGTGTCTCCCCAAGCGATGGGGCGACGTGTCCCAGAACCTCATCTACCACCAAGTGCGAAAGTACCTGCTGCGTCTGAAACCCGAGCACATCAAATTCTGGCGCCCACATATTATTCTTCTCATCAACAATCCAAGGCGCCAAGCTCGACTCATTCAGTTCTGCAACTCTCTGAAAAAGGGGTCACTGTATATTCTCGGTCACGTCATTGTTACGGACGACTTCGACGCCGGTGTCCACGAGGCGCGGTTACAGCAACAAGCCTGGACGAACTACATCTCGGAGTTCTCCAGAATCAAGGCGTTCGTGCAACTCACCATGTCGCCAACTATAAACTGGGGTGTCCGCAACCTAATTCTGTCTGCTGGGTTGGGCGGCATGCGCCCAAATATTGCCGTAATCGGATTCTACAACTTGGATGATCTAAGGCAAACGAACCCAGATGTTTCTATTCCAGAATTGCCTCAATCTCCTGCAAAGAAAATGCTCAAACCATCTAAATCTTCCGAAGACAGAGTTTCGCTCAAGAGGCGTCGTGGCGACACTTCAGCTAGGCTCTTGGAAGGTGCCCTGCCCACGGATGTCATTCGGACCGAGTCAATGATGAACGTTACAGAATACATGACCATGCTCGAGGACTTGGCTCTCAAGTACAAGCTCAATGTCGCTGTTGCTAAGGGGTTCGAGAAGCTCGAAACACCGCGCTCCGACAAATCCAACACGAAAAAGTACATAGATCTCTGGCCTATTCAGATGTCCGCAGAGGTAACTGCCGACGGCAAGAATATCGTCACCACAAACTTTGATACGTACACTCTCATACTCCAGCTTGGACACATTCTGCATTCGGTGCAGACCTGGAGGAACGTTTATACCGTCCGAGTCATGGTGTTCGTCGAATACGAAAGCGAAGTCGAAGAAGAGCAAGCTCGCGTTAAAGCCCTGCTAGAAAAGCTCCGTATCGACGCTACTGTGTCAGTGTTTTGGCTAGCCTCTGGCAGCCTTAAAACCTACGAGCACATTATCAACGGGAGTATCGGAGATGTTGACACGAGAATCATCGTCAATGACGCATTGAAGGACGAGGAATGGTGGAATGGATTGCACCTGTATCGTGGACGAGCCGACATGTTCGAAAGCCAGGATATGACCCAAATTACCCATATCCTCGACTCGACGTCGGGTCGCCGCGGCTTACACAATCCACATGAAGGGACCGGCTTTGACCAACGTCGTGCCAGTGTCGTGGCTGGGATAGCTGAGATTCCCAAGAAACCTGACCTAGCTACTCTATCCAAAATGGGCGTCAGTATGGGCATACATACGCACCACCTCAACGATGAGGTTTTCGATGAATCAGACCCAGAGGACTCAACAGACAGCGAAGATGAAGATGGAAAGAGAGAAGTGGAAATACAGGCGCCATATAGCTACCCACACCCTCCCACACCTTATCCGTTTGCTGAGGGAACGAGGCAGACGGAGCAGAAGCCTCTGCTTGAGGGCACTCTTAACCGGCGTGGGCGATCGCACTTGAAGAATCATCCAGGAGGTTCATTTGCACAGAGTGAGCCCGCCACGCAGCCCTTGATCCAAGCTGTGTCGTCCGATGGCCCTTCCTATGGCACAATCGCATCATCTTCAACATTGTTCCAACCCGAATCGAGCTTCAACTTGCCCCCCCAGGTGTCCAAGGTCCCCGAGGTGTCACGAACCGCCGCAAGCGACCCTTCGACACCTGAACCTGGCACTCGAGCAACGGACGCAACGGACAAGCTCGCCCAGTTCCCTACACTCGAACCACTGCTCGCGGCTAGTAATGCGCCTACTAGTAAAGCAAGCTCACGACCCGCGAGCCCGAGCAGACAGGGAACAAAGACTCCGAGAAACGGCACCAATACCCCTGTTAGACCCGCAATGTCGCGGCAGTCCTCTGCCGTCAAGTTTTCCAGCCGCCCTGTCCCCGAGACGACCGTCACCGGCGAGGACTCGCGGCTCACCTTTGCCCAGCCGACGATAAATGACGCGTCGGGTTCAGACGCGCCACGCCCCGCGCACTCGCGCCAATCGTCCCTAGGCAGGTTTGCCAGCCGGCCCGTAGCGGAGAAGCGCCCATACCTGCCCGATGGCGGCAGCAAAACTATTACCTTTGCAGAGACACCCGTCTACCAGCCGTCCTCGGGCCCGTCGACGCGCCACCACTCGCGCCATGGCTCGCAGTTTTCCTATTTTGGCGACGTCGTCTACGACATACCCGAGGTCAAGGACGCGGCGTATCATGAAGCGGCCGCCGACGTGGGCGGCTCGCCATACTCGACGCAGAACGTGGCGCTGTCATTCAACGACTTGCCCAGCCGCGCGCAGCACCTCATCCTCAACGAGCTGATGCGGCAAAACTCAAAAGACACGGCGGTGCTGATGAGCACGCTTCCGATTCCGGCAGACGGCACGAGCGGCGACGAGGAGGCGACGGTGCGGTACCTTTCCGACGTCGAGGTGCTGTGCGCAGAGCTGCCGCCTACGCTGATGGTCTTGAGCAACAGCATGACTGTGACTGTGAGCTTGTAGGTAAAATTGATGTGTTTTTTTTTCGTTCTAGTTGGCATATTGTGGCATCTTTATCCCGTAGATTGGGTTGGCTGTTCTCATGAAGTGGTTTTCAGGTTCTGAAGCGCTACATTTACATAGATTGCATAGCGAGCGATGTCAAGTTGAATAGAATCTTGCTTCTGTTTTGGATAGTCTTCTATTTTGTCTGTCTGTGTCGTCTGATATATTCTAGTCTTTATGCCATGTCGTGTTGTCTTTGTAAAAAACCAATGTCGTCGTAAATGCTGTAAATGTCAACCGCCTGCTCCCCATATGTCTCTAGCTCGCCCTTCTTTGCGCACCCATTCATTCTATATTTTATACAATCATGTACAGCCTTTATAATATTCTCTTGACGACCAGCTCGCCGGCGCCATCTTCCACCTCCACGAAGCCGCCCGCCTTGATTCTCTTCTCCCACTTTGCGCTCTCGCACCGCGCCAAAATCATGGTCATGCGCAGCGCCGCCTCGTCGCTGCTCGCGTGCTCCTGCTGCTCGCCCGCCACGGGAGTAAACGTCCAGCGCCCAAATGCCCAATTGAGAATGTAGCGCCGCGCCGGGCTGGCGTCGGGCGCGGGTACGTCGGCGTCCGAGTTGCGCGGGGGCGTGGAGAGTGTGACGACGGCCTTGATGCGATACACCTCGTCCTTGGGCGCGGCGGCGAGCAGCGTCTGTAGCTTGTCGGTGGAGATGGTCGCGCGGCCGGGGATCTCGAGGGAGAGGACCTCGACCTCGCTCTGGTGGTCGTGGTTGTGGTTGTGGTTGCCGTTGGTGTGGGTGTGGTCGCCGTTGGTGTGGTCGCCGTCAGCACTTTTGATATCGCCGTCGGTGAGCTGCTGCGCGAGGCCGCCATCGATTCCAAACACGAGATCCATGTCGACGAAGCCCTTGTCGCTCTTGACCTTGGCCACATCCACCTCCAAATCGCCCACCCTGTCTACGCACTCCTCGTAGCGGTCCTCGCCGGCGGCCTCCCACTTATTGAAGACGATCAGATCCGTATATCTAGCCTGTATCTTTGCCGTGTAGCTGGTATCCTCGTAGCCCTCCCAGTTTTCCACATCAATCACGCTCACGACGCCATCTAGAATGTAACCGCCCGTCTCGCGCGCCAGCCGATTCACCTCGAGGGCCAGCGTCGCTGGGAACGCGGACCCGCTCGTCTCGATGATGATGCGGTCGGGCGCGACAGTATCGCGAAGCTCGGTAAGGGCCGGGCCCAGCTGGCCGACGAGGTTGCAGCATATGCAGCCATTCAGCAGCTCCTGCACGCCCGAGATGGCGGCGCTGGAGGCGAGCTGCGAGTCGACGGCGAGGTCGCCGAATTCGTTTTTGAGAAGAGCGAGCTTGTAGGAAGGGTTCTTGCGGCGTAGCTGCGGGATGAGGTTGAGGATGAGGGTCGTTTTGCCGGAGCCGAGAAAGCCGGTAATGATGGTGATGGGGATGGGCGCCATTTTCGGAAGGGCAGATGGCAGATGGGACGTGCGAAGGCGCTCTGCCAGGGCAATGGTCAAAGAAACTCGGCAACGGGTATACAAACAGGAATGGACGCCTCGAAAAGACAGTCAGCGTTGGAGTGGGTGTGCGGTCAAAGTAAAGTTTCAAGATACGGTCAAGAAAACGGGTCTCCCACGCTGAAGTGCCAAGTGCCCCTCCAAGGAAAATGTTGGTGATTGTTGGCCGAAATGGAGGGGCAGGGTCGGCTGTCTCTTGACGTCATGCCATCACGCAACTTTTATCCTGAATTCAAGAAATCAATTTATCAAGATTCTCAACGGCTTTCCAACATTGTCTTCTACGACTCATCATTCTTTTACGATTCGCTGTTGCAATCTTCTCGGTGCAATCTTCCCTGACCACTACTCAAATTTCCATCACCATGGCGCAGCAAGCAAACGACAAAATGCAACCACCAGCGGACAGGCCATACAAGCGACACCTCGACGAGGCGGCGAGCCACCAGACGGAAGACTACCGAGAACCGAGCACGGTTCAAAAGGCCGTCGAAAAGGGTAAGAGACGAGCTGCAATGGCGGAGCACACGTACTGACGAAGAACAGTGTCAGAGTATATTCCTGCAGCGTCTGGGCCGTTGCAGCAGCTGACGGGACACCCAGCGGCGGCGGCGGCGAAGACGGAAGAAGCAGAGACGGCGCCTGCGCCGGATCCGTCGCAGCTACCAGAAAGACCGCTACATGATGAGCATATTGAAAATTTCGTGAGGGAGCAGCATCGTCAGGATGGGAAAAAGATCTTAGAGGGGCACAAGCAGTAGACGGCGGATTACGGTGCAGGCAGATGAAGAATGACCGCAATCCAGTTTTGCACATGTATAAACGCACTTTGATGTTAATGTGTCTGGCATGGCTCTGATGCAAGGCTGGTCTCCTTGAATCAACTGCTTCGCAACGGGTATGGTGCCGTTGCTATCAACATTGTGCTATATTTTGACGGAGCGTAATTGAGCAGCAATCTGTATACAGTGCGCAGAATAGTCTCAATTACGAGCAAGTACGACTACGATGACAGAAGAGTCTTCACAGTGATGAAATGTCCCCCCTTCTTGGCATTATCTCGCCTACGGAATCGGAACGAAAGAATCGAACCGACCTTGCGAGAAATTTCCTATATCCAAGGGTTTCTTCTCTGCTGAGCGAGTTTTCCAAAGAAAACTGGCAACGCGACACCGTGGGAAGTTCTTGGTGAAGGTCGTGGCTGCTCAGTGGCTTTTTGATGAAGAAGAGAAAAGAAGAAAGGAAAAAGGGAAACCTCTGGCGCTGAATGGAGATTTTATAGAGCGAAAACTGGTTTGCGGTGCGTGATGGCAGTATTTAAAGCTAGTCTGCTTTGGGATGGATCGGTCGCGAGCGGCTCTTGCCGAAGAGTTTGGAACGAGCGCTTGATCGCGTCGAAATGTTATGCCACGTCAGAAAGATTATAAAATCCTCGCATTCTGCCCCAATTGTGCAAAGAAGCGTCCGTGACGATTTGAAAACGCACACGCCAGTTGGCTGTCTTGGCTGACCATATATCAAGAAGCTGCATACGGCTGCATCATCGCCAATGGATTGTCTCGCTGCTTGATTACGGTCCAGACTGGCTTATAACTGTGGAAAATGCTACGTCACGCTAGGCAGTCTGACAATGAAGCCCTGATTCAACCACTCCTCGATAGAGGCGCTGACGACACATTACGAACACGTGTGATTTTGGGCGTGATGAGTGATGGATCCATTCAAAGGAAACGCAAGGACACAGAAGAGACTTAATCGTCTACTTGGTCCGGACACCTAAGAAGCTGTCACGAATGAACGACCATAGTCAGTGACTTCTAACCAGGCCTTGTATTTTGACAGATATCTTTAAACCCCATGACTAAGGCTTGTGCAGCCCCTTGCCTAGCAACTCCTCCCCAACCTCCTTGACCAGCTTCTCGTTGGGAAACGCCTTCTTCTTTTCGAGGACCGTCTCTTTGGCGTCCAGTGCGCGCAGCAAATCCGCGAGATCGCCGTTGAGATCGGTGCCAAAGACGAGGTGCCCGAGCGACAGAAGCATGCCGCGCAGCGCCTCGGCTGACTCGCCCTCGCGCGCCACGGCCTCAACCAGCGCTGCCGCCAGCTCCACCTCCTCGGCGGCGGAGAAGCGCGCCGAATCCCCGTTCCTGCGCCGCTGGCGATTCGTCAGTGCGAGATTGAACAGGAGCGACGCGGCGGCGACGCGAGTGTTGCTGTGGTTGTCGTCAAGGAAGCTCGATGAGACGAGCGTCGCCACCTGTGCGCGGATGCCGCTGTCGCCAAACACGATGCCGGGGAACAGCGGCGTGGAAAACATGTTGCACACGGCGTGGAGCGTTACGAGACGCATTGAGTACGGACAGCTGGCGCCCTTTTTATTCACGTACCGAATGATGGCGTCCATGGTCTGAAAGTCGCGCTCTTCGGCATAGTAGGCGCTCACGCGCGGATCCGTCAGCGCGGCGCGGAACAGGTCGATGGCGGTAAAGACGACATCAGGCGCAAGCTTGTCCAGGGCGTCGCGGATGCACTGTCCGAGACTCAACAGGCCTGGCAGCCTAATTTCTGCCGTGTTGTGCTTGTGGCGGATTTCGAGGAAGCTCATGACGGCTTGCATTTCTGGAATGAGGCTAAACTCGCCCATTTTGACGTGCAGTTTACTCAGAGGCGGCGTCTTGGAATACAGAATGGGCTGCGCATTTGGTGAAAAGTTCGGTAGCTGTAGCCTGTCGTGTGTGTGTAATTGTGCGCCCATCTGCGTTAGCAGCTGTGCGTTGCTCTGGAGGGCCTGTTGGTCAGCGCCGGTCCAGCGCTTGAACTGCTCGCCGCGGAAAAAAGTGATGAAGGTGGGCGTGGCGGTGATTGTGTATTTGGCGGCGATATCATGCGCGAGCGAAATGTCGACTTTGATAAAGGCAATCTGGTGTCCGTAGTGCTCAGCCAGCTGGTCGTAGAAGGGATATAGCGCCTTGCAAGGCGGGCAGGCGGGCGATGTGAAGAAGACGACCGCGGCCGCCTTTGCAGACTGGGCGAGAAGTTGATGATAGTCTTCGATCCGAACGGCGTTGTGGACTTGATTAAGCCTCTTGGGCTTTGCTGCACTGGCCGCCGTGTCGCCCAAGCCGAGCAAGCCATTTCTCCGGGCATTCATACCCTGAGTGAGCCGGGGCAACATCATGCGACCCATGGGTGAGTCTAGCACAGCTTGCGGCATGCTTGATATGTGATCGGGGATACCTTTTCCAAGAAGAAAATTGGAAAAGGAGTCTGTGAAGTTATTACAGTTGTGTTTGAATAGATCGTATGCCTGGAGTGACTTTGACGTTAACAAGGCACAACTATATCGCTAGGCGACGGAGTTTACCTCGGCAGTGTAGATGGATCTCACTGAAGTCAGATAATCGTGTATAACATCCATCGGGAGTGATGTCGTGCCGAGTAGCAGCCGCTGCATAGGTCGGCCCAGGTGTGATGAGCCGGGGACGATTTCGAGGATGCTGCCATCGTAGACGTATTCAGTGCCGCGCAGCTCTATAGATGTGTGATAGATGGCGTCGAGCTGAAAGCCCAGGATGCTCAAAGACAAGTCCTTTGCCAGCCCACCGGACAAGTCGTAAACCAACAGGTGGACTTGCATGCCGACAGGCCCGTCCATTAGTCAATGCGGGGAACCTGGCAACCGAATAAGAAATCGTGAACTACGGGACGACGAGGATGAAGTGCAAAAAATACGCGAGGCTAAGACAGGCTGATTCGGAACAGCCTGGGGGGACGGCTGCTAAATGTAGCGGGTTTTTAGGCAAGGCAGCAGTCAGACTGCGTTGGCGCGGGACGCTTTGCTGTCACAGCATACGGTTGGAAGTGGCAGCGGACAAGCTGTTGTGGTTGGCGGAGTGGCAAGTGCTGGCGCCGCATGTGGCGCAGCGAAGTGAGTGCGCATGTAAATTTTCCTATGTTTCAACGACCAAGTCATTGTCCGTACCAGAGGTCAGAATTGAGTAATGAGTTGATTGAAGAAACTTCTACGAAACTCAAGACGGTGATGAATGCTCTTCTTTACTACTAGTAAATAATGATACGAGACGCGGGCGCTATGGCAACTAGGTTGGCATTATGGCGGCGGGTACTTATTTGATAGACGACTTTTTCCTTGGGAAAATTCACGGAGGGTATAAGAACTCTATGTAGTAGACATGGTACTATTCAAGATACTCGTAGTAATATCAAGCAATTTGAGTATATTTATTTCTCACGATTCAAAAGAGATAAGAGCGATTTTCGGGAGATGGCGGCGATGTTTTCTTTTCTGTTAAAGAGCTAAGTTGCTGCCCTGTGTTTAGAATAGCAAGTGGGGTGGCGGAGGAGGACACCGCTGTGAATTAGTCCCATGATCACTGTAAACGACCAAGACGCCCTGACTGGCCTTATAGCCAGAGGTCTGCCCGCTGTAAAACATCCTGAAGCCGCGCAATTCTGCCCTGACTTGGTGCTGCCTGCTTGCCTAGTGCCTGCCAAAAAAAGTGGCCAAAACAAAACGCCGCTCGTCGGGTATTGATGCCTTCTTCCTGACCATGGCTACGCATCAGAACAAGCTAAATAAATTTGGATATGGCGAGTAACTGGTTGATCAATCCAGAGCATGCATATGATTTTTTTCGCATAGAGAATGACTTATCACGGTAGTTCTCATATGTAGTCAGTAGGTTCCTCAGACAGAAGGTTGCTTTGGTCTTTGTTTTGTCCCCCCCACGCTTGGTTGCTGCCAAGTTGCTTGGCCGGCCAAAGAAAAACAGCACTAAAATTAATAGGTACTCACAAGAGAAAGGGAGGGACATCATGCATGAAGCCCGCTTCGTCTCCCACGTTTCTCCCCGACTCGTGCTTTTCTAACCCTTCTCAGGGCTTCCCAACCGAGTCTCCTGTACGCCGCTTTCTTTTCGGAGTTTTCTTCTCTGCCACGTCTTCCAACGACAATCTTTTACTCTCGCATACCCAATCGCACGACTGCCGCAAACGCGCAAGCATCCACCTCCCCAACGACCTCCATCCCCCTGGCCCAAGCCTTCGCATCCCTGTTTCCAACGTCAATCATCTTCGGTCACTGGGCCACACAATCGACAGCGCATCAACCTCACTCTCGTTTTACCGCTGCCGATCCAATCTGTAATTTCTCACCCTGAGTTTGACTCGCACTCTTTCGTCCGCCGGCACACGACCGACTTCTTTCGCTCCCCTTGGCTGCAGCAGACGACGCCCACGATGCGCCTCACCACCCATATACCAGGCAGTGCCACGCTGCTCACGGCTTTTGCCCTACTCAACGGCATCGTCGTGCCCGTACGTGCCGCCGACGAGGATAGCTCGAGTGCCTCGGCCTCAGCGTCGAGCTCGGCCTCTGCCACGCCATCATCCTCCTCGGCTTCGGCCTCCTCTGCCTCGCCCAGCTTAACCAGTTCCGAGTCGTCGTCCGCCTCCGCCAGGCAGACCTCTGACACCAACACCGAAAGCGGTGGCCTCACCGGCCTCCCGACACTCACCAACATTGCTGCCATTCCCACCTACCCGCCGCCCGCCGTCCCCGATACCAAGGACGCGCCCTTTATGCAGTCGTCGAGTGCCCCCGAGGGTACCGTCTTCATCGCCGTCGGCGCCATCCTCGGAGCCTTCTTCCTCGCCGTCCTCATCTGGCGTGCCATTGTCAGCCTGCTGCTGCATCGCTCCGTCGAGCGCGCTTCCAAAGCCCAGCACGTCGCCAACACCAAAAAGAAGTCGGCCGCCGCCGCCGCCTTTCCTGCGCCGCCTGCGCCCTTTTACAAGTACACGGACCAAGAGTCGACGCGCTCCCTCGGCCAGAGCCCCCGCCGCGCTAACCGACGCTCGACGCGAGGCCCTGATCCCTCCAACAATCCCAGCCAGTCAAACCTCTTCTTCTCGCCCACCGCCGCCAATAGCGGTGCCGCCGGCAACCGCGGCTCTGCCTACCTGCCCTCGGGGTTTTATGCCGGCTCCGCTGCCGCCTCTCACCAGCAGAGCCAGTCTATCGGCATGGCTAATCTCAACCCGGCGTCTGGCCAGTACGCCAATGGCTCCCGCAACAATCTCGGTGGCTCCCCGCCCGAGTCCCCCATGTTTCACGCCCGCCGCGATGCCAGCACCTCGTCGATAAACCTCGCCGCGCCTCTTCAACCTGGCCAAAGAGCCCCGAGCGCTTACCTCGAAGATCTACTGGCCGAGGATCCCTCAGCCTTTCCTCCACAAAGCATGTCGGGATCGCGACGATAGACTTGAACTTACATAAGCTGCGCCATAGAGACCCGCCGCGCATCTCCCGCACATATAGCACCATATATCTTTTAAAAGGGGCGTTTTATTCTTGAATAACGGTTGGATTCTTGTTTGCTCATGTGTTATCTTTCTTTCCGAAGGTGTTGTCTTGTCTCTGCCACCCCGTTTTTTATATCTTGCGTTTTTTTTTCTTGGAAACTTGGGCTAGTATTGCTCACCATTAGCTTTCAACTCTTGTTAGTTGGAAGACTTGGGGAGAGACCATGAGTTTGTACCGCAACTATACAGTAGATGCTGTTCGATGAGCGGATCAGTCTTGCTCGACGTTTAATAATTGAAGCGGCCTAAGGGCAGACATAGATGCTACATTGCTATGTTCAGGTGATTCAATTAGGCCCAGTATAGCCCGACCAAGTCTATCCTTAGCAAGCCCAGTAGCGGCTCATTCTGTCAAAAAAAGATAAAAATAAATGACGAAGAAATGTTTTGCCAAAAAAAGCAAAGCAGGAAAACATCACAGCTTCGACCGTCAAGCCACACGAGTGCCTCTTTTGAGCCCGTCTCACACAGTGATGGCATTTGATGAATATGTATTCTGTATATTTACTTGTGATATCTAAGAGCAACATTGCTCGAATCCGTTAACCCCAAACTCCCATGTACCCCTGATTATAAACATGCAAAATTTTATATACGGCAACTGTCTTTCTCCAAATCGCTCTCTAAATGCTCGACTCCGCAATCCGCGGCGCCGAGCTCGTGCTGCCATCAATCGCCGCCATGGTCCGCGCCGCCATCTCTATATCCCCAAAGCTGATGCCGCTGCGGTCACACATGCCCCGAAAAATGCCGCCCGGATTGCGATAGAGGTTGGCGGGCGTGTCGAGCTCCGCGATGCGTCCCGCGTCCATGACGCAGATGCGGTCGTAGCCGATAATGGTACGCAGGCGGTGCGCAATGCACAGAAGCGTCTTGCCGCGGAAGCCTGCCGCCATGGTGCGCTGGATCTTGTCGTCCGTCTCCATGTCGACGCTCGACGTGGCCTCGTCGCAGACAATGATTTGTGCGCCGCGCACCAGCGCACGTGCTAGCGCCATCAGCTGCCGCTGGCCGAGCGAAAAGTTGAGCCCCTCGTCCTCGACGATGCTGTCGAGGTGAATGCGCGAGGATGACGAAGACGATTCCGCTGCGGCCGCGCGATCGCCGTCAGCATTGTCGAGGGAGGCCGCGTCGGCGCCGACGAGGTCGGCTTGGCGGAGCGCGGACCACAGCGCCAGGTCGTCGTGCTCCTGGAACGGGTCCAGGTTAGAGCGGACAGTGCCCTGGAACAGCGTCGGGTCCTGTGGGATGATGGCAAGGCGCTTGCGCAGGTCGCCGAGGCCAATGGTGGAAATATCGAGACCGTCAATGGTGATGTGGCCGCCGGATATCTCGACGAGACGAAACAGCGTGCTCATGATGGACGACTTGCCCGCACCGGTGCGTCCCACGACGCCGATGCGCTCGCCGCCCTGGACGTGCATCGAAAGGCCCTTGAGGACAAGCGGCAGATTGGGACGGTAGCGCATCTCGACGTTTTCAAACTTGATCTCGCCCTTTTCCGGCCAGCTCGGCCGCACATCCACCGTGTGCAGAGGAGCCTCCTCCTCTAGCTCGTGGCCGTAGTAGCGCAGTCGCTCGACAGCATTCATGCCGTTTTCGACTTCGGCAAGCTGGCGAATGGAAAATTGAAGCATCTGAACAATCGACAGCATGTAACTGAGCACCAGGCCGCCAGTGGACGGGCTGACGGTGAACCGAGACGTGACGACGAGAATGGCCACCACAAACACGAGGAGGTTACCAATCATGTCAAGCCGTACAGAGAGCCAGCGCTGGTTGGCAAAAGTGAGGTAGTAGGCTCCGTTCATCTGGTCAATCGACGTTCGTAGATCTTTCATAAATCGCTCGCGAAGACCATAGGCTCGAATGGACGAGACGCCGCTCAGGCCCTCGCTGAAGCGCGCAAACATGCTGGAGCGAAGCACGGATTCATAGCGCTTCACCTCACGGGCAGACGAACGATAGTAGGTCCCCGCAACCATGTAAAGAATGTACAGAGGAACTAGCGCGGCGGCAAAATAGTAATAGTAAGCAATGGTGAGGATAAAGACGGCGGTAACGTTTGCGAGAGTGAAAAAGAACATGCGAATAGCATCCGTCAAGTTGTTATCCATGACATCGACATCACGCGAGAACCGATTCGTGATGCGACCGAGCGGCGTCGTGTCGAAAAAAGACATGGGGGCTCGCAGCACACGCGTGACGGCATCCCGCAGCATTCTTTTACTAGCATTGGTGCCCATGACAGTCAGAAGCACGGCGAAGGCGAACATGAAAAAAGCTTGGCTAAAGCCGAGGGCGGCGTACACACCAATGTAGACGCCATCCGTGTACCCAAACTTGTCAGAAGTCCACCACGACAGCCACAGACTGGTGACAATGTTGGCGCCCTGAGACAGAATAAGCACAAAGGCAAGAAAGGGCAAGTTCAACATGCTTCCAGACGCCCGAATATAGCCCGCATAAACAGACCACGGAACAGACTTTTCCGCTCGCTCTTCTTGCTGCATGAGCATGGCCTGCTTCTTGTTTTTCTTGCTCTTGGCGCGTTCCTCGGCCGAGGTTGCCACGCGCTCCATCTTGGGCTTCTGCTCTTCCTCTTCGGAAGCCTCCTCTGTACTTGCTTCCTCTTCGTCCTCCTCCTTCTCGACGGCATTCGTCTCCATTAGGGTGCGGAAGCCTTGCTCGTCGCGCATGAGGTTTTCAAAGGTGTCAATGGCGCGAATCTGACCGCCGTCCATCCAGATGATGCGATCGCAGCGGTTCAGGACCCAGAGCTGATGGGTCGCCAAGATGCGGCACTTGTCCTTGAGAAGACCAAGAATGGCATTGTCAAAGATGTGACGGCCGACGTGAGCGTCGACGGCACTGAGAGGGTCGTCCATTAGGATAATGTCGGCATCAAAGTAAATGGCGCGGGCGATGTTGAGACGCTGCTTTTGACCGCCAGAAATGGTGATGCCGCGCTCACCGATTTCGGTTTGGTCGCCATTGGGTAACATGTCGAGATCGGACTGGAGAGCACAGGCGTCAATGACGTCTCTATACCAGGGCTTGTTCATCGGCTTTCCAAAGGTAATGTTGTTCTGCAGAGAGGTGTTTTGTATCCAAGCATACTGGGGACAGAAGGCTCTTGATGCGCCAAACACGACTTCACCCTCCGTCTTGCGCATATCACCCGCCAATGATGCAAGAAGAGAACTCTTTCCACAGCCAACAGAACCTATGACGGCCAAGAGCTCCTTTCGTCCGGCGGTGAAGTTAATATCTTGGAGCTTAAATGGTTGTCGCTCTTCACCGCGAGTGGCCTCTTTCGGTACGTCTTCTTCAGAGGGTTCCGTAGAATTGAGCTGTGCCTTGGCCTCCTTGGCGGCAGCGGCAGCAGCCTTGGCCTCCTTGGGGTCTTGGGGCAGTTCAGTCTCCTTGTTCTTCGTGCGCTCCCAGGTAAAGGATGCGTTGTTCATTTCGATAGCGTATTCGCCGTCTGACTTGACGACAATATCTTCCTCCTGTTCTTCCTCGAGAAGGAATTCCTCTACACGACCAATAGATGACATGGCGTCAATGACCTGCCCAAGAACGAGGGGTAAAAGATTGAGCGGAATTCGAAGACTGTTGAAGAGAGCCAACGAAGAAAAGACCTCGGCGGGGGCAAGGCCGTGGTTGGTTAGTCGGTAGGTGATGAATGACAGCATCGATGCGAAAACAGGCATAGCCATGCTGACAGAGTTGATGGCATTTCGCGTGGCCAGCAGAACCTGAATGGAATAAATTTCCTTGGAGCGAATCTCGGCCAGGCGCTCCAGAAAGGCCGTCTCCCAGCCAAAGTACTTGACAAAGCGGACTGACTGTATAATCTCTTGTGTCAAGGATACGCGCTTATCGGTAATCTTGTTGATCGTCTTGCGGCGAGCAAATAGGCTCTTGATGGCCATTGTGAGGAGTGGTACGCCAAGCACGAGGAGGCCGAAACCGGCCAAAGCACTATAAGTCAGATTGACAATGAGAAGAACCAGAGTCACAAGACAAGAGACCGGCGCTGTCCAGATGAAATGGCCCAGAGCGCAAGCTTGATCGATACGATAGGTGTCGACGCTCATCAAGTTGACAATGCGACCGTTTGCCCAACCAATCTCATTTGGTTTGGCACCGTGGGACTTACTCTCCTTTTCCGACTTTTTCTCATCAATCTTCTGGTCATCTGGCTTTTCAGTGCCACCTTCCTCTGGTGACAGAGGATCCTTCGAAGTACCGGCTTTGGCTCGGCCAGAAATGACCATTGACTTGTCGTAGATCATGCCGATCAGGACAGCACGGCTCTGGCCGCCCAGCATCATGCCTCCGTAGATAAAATGGCCAATGCAGAGACTGCCAACGACCTGCATCAACGTGATTCCAACCGCGAGGCCGACTCCCTCGCCAATGTGTGGTGGATCGGTGTGCTGGACGTGGGCGTAGTAGGCTTTGGTAGCGAATTGAATCAGGTATCGAAGGGTAAAGGGCGCAATAACTTGAAGCATAGTTGAAATGAAGGCGCAGAATCCGCTGAGCCAAAACTCGAAAGTGAAGCTGTCATAGAGGGCCATCAGCAGCGGACGCTTGGAGCCCTTTGCGATTCTGCGCTTGAAAGCGGCTCTGACTTTGTTGGTTAGTACCTCGGCCCCGCGATCGGGGTTCACGGCCCAGAGGTCACGCTCGTGCAGCTGTCTCTTATAACCGGTCTGTGTACATGGTTAGTGTATGCCGTGGTGGGCATCTGCTAGAGGATGCAAACTTGCCGTCATGAGAGGCGTCATCCAGTTGAAAAAGAGCTTGCTAAAGATGCTCGCGCCATACTCGCGGGAGACAATGCGTTCCTGGGGAATTTCTGGAATAGCTCCCCAGCGGAGCGGATTCAGCTTTTGTTTCCACGTTTTTTTCTCTTGTGGTGGCACTCCTGTGGCGGTCGTACCAACGCTCGCATCCGTGGCGTTGGTTTGGATGACCGCTAGCTCGTTCTCGTCATGGCTTTCGGACGTTGCGTGCGACTTTTTCTCGACGCTCTGCGACTCGGCGCTGTCTCTCTGGTTGCTGGGCTGCGTGTTGGGCGCATCGACAGCGGAAGCGGGCTCATCCTGCAGAGCGGCCGTGGCTGCGAGCGCATCCGGTGTCTGAAGATCCTTGCCCGGCTGATCGGCCATTGTGCAGCCGTTGCCCGAGACTCGCGGCTAGATTTATGCGGTACAGCGGAAGCGGTTGAAAGCCACTGTTGAAGAAGTGAGGCTCGACCAACAGGCTACCCCATGCGGCAGGCGACGTTTCTCGGAATAGTGGCGTCTTCAATTCCGTTTGGCGCAACGGGCGTCCAAGAGGGCAACAAGGGTTTAAGCTTTCGTTTGCTGCTTGGCCAGAACACAATGAGCAGTGGTTGGAGAGAATAGTAGAGTCGTACTCGGATTTCGCGTCGCTAGCAGAAATGGTGTTTCAGGAAGAATGGGAAAGACACAGGTAAATGACAGAGAAGTAAGCCGCGAAAGTAACAAAATAAAAAGATGCCGGCACGGCACCGAAGCAGCAACTGGTACCCGGTCATACTGTCCGGGCCTAGGCAAAGTCCGTCCGCAACTCGCTAGTAGCTGTCGCCACGAACCCACTCCGCAAAACGGGATATTTAGTCACCTTTTGATCATTAGAAGGAGTGCTATAGGTGCTCCAAGGCACCGGGAATTAATGCTAAAATGCTTGGATCCTGGCGTTGATTGGCCGGGCGTTGCGCGCCGGAACAAAAGGCCTGCCAACAGAGCGCCATCACACCACGATCTGTGTACGGTACCCTGGGTGCCTGGGGCGATTCCTTGGGCTTTTATCAACAAGCCAAGCCCGATCCCCCGCATTGCACAGAAGGAGGGCCGCTTCTCCCAGCCAGGAGAAAGCAAGGCTGTGCCATGGCCAAGCATGCGCCGGTTCAGCTTCGTTTTCGTGCGCATTAAATACAACAACACACGGCCTGCCTGCTGCTCTCAATAGCGCCCCACGCACGCTCACCAGAGCACAAGTAGGTCGTGAATGCAGCGTCATGACTCTGACAGTGCAGAGAGCAAAGGAAAGTGCAGAAGAGCGAGTCAGCATGTCTCTGCAAGGAGCAACTGTAAGCCCGGACTTGTTGGTTTAGGCTCACTGCCGCTTCCGCACATTCATGACTTCCCATTTCCTTCACCGCAAAGTGCAGTGCAAATCCTCATCGCTAAAAGTCATGGAAGAAGGTGTGGAGGGTACGAGTTCCGGTCCAGTGGACCGCAGGCTCGACCCACTGAATATTCACTGATGCATTCATTTATGCCTGCCTCGTTGATGCGACACTCTCGTATGACGCGCCACCAACCGACATGCCCGAGGTGCGGGGATTTGACACTGGTAATTGACCCGTGATCAGGGCTGTACTGAGTATAGGCCATTGTCAGAGTCAATGAAGCGCGGGTGGCAAATTGACCTGAACCTGCTAATAATAAGGCCATGGACAAATCTCTCGGCCGGTCGGGGTTAGTTGGGCCAGCGAGTTCCAGCCCCAGAACCTGTCCGACAAACTAAATTAGCGCCTCATCAGCGACGGAGTTTGCTCTGCAGAATTGTGGTATACTTGACAAGCAGCTGGACGGATTCCTTGCCTGTCACTTGGGTGTCGTGCGACGCGCCGCAAGATGCCTCCGTGATTTGCTCATCATGGCCGAGGTTTCACAAATGGTTACAGAGGGACGGGCGACGTGCCGGTGCGATACACCGTAGCAGCCAGGTGGCTAATTACTAAATTCACCGACTGCTTAGCAAAGCACGGAGATTGTCGACGCCGCGCACCGATCGCCCCATTTTGGCGGTGGGCTTTTTTCTGCCGTGACAGCTGGCAGAGCTTTTCCGTAGCAAGTGTCGGAACCGGCCAGCAAACAACGACCGGACGAGATAATTCTGCGCAGTAAACGCAGTAATCTCGAACAAGTCGTCGTCATCGCCATGGCTACTGCGGATGTACCGAGCCTTGCGATTCCGGGCCGAGTCCTCGGCCCCGTGTCCAAATATGCGCCCGGCGCTGGAACACACATTTTTGAAGGAAACGTGGTGTCGTCGTTGATGGGCAATGTGACGGTCATGCCCCCGGCTAAAGCACCCGGCCCCGCGAAACGATTGAACAAACTTACGGCGCCGTCCTCCGACGAGCTCTCTACAATCACAGTCGCACGACATGGCCGCAAGCGCGAGATTCTTCCCGACGTCAACAACATTGTGCTGGCGCGCGTGGTCCGTTTGATGCCCAAGCAAGCCATTGTCGTGATTCAGCAGGTCGGCGACACGGTGCTGCAGACGGAGTGGCAAGGCGTAATTCGCGTGCAGGACGTGCGCGCCACGGAAAAGGACAAGGTCAAGATATCCGAGTCGTTCAAGCCTGGCGATATTGTCCGGGCCCAAGTAGTACGTGACTGTTGATTCTCCAACGGGGTATGCGGATTGTGACATTGGTCATGCTGACGAGATTGCATAGATTTCATTGGGAGACCAAGCCAATTATTACCTTTCAACGGCGTCAAACGATCTCGGCGTCATCATGGCGACAAGCGAGGCGGGCAACGACATGGTGCCCATCAGTTGGAAGGAGTTTAAGGATGCCGAGACGGGCGCAAGCGAGCTGCGCAAGGTTGCTAAGCCGAGCTGAGGGATTTCTTGAGCTTTACTGCAGGTGAACGGCCAGAAAATATGCGCTGTCGTCGAGCAAAGAAATACTGTGTCGACTATGGCGACTTAAGCGCAAGGGGCGAGGCGGGCAGGGCGGCAGCAACCACGATACTGGGCTGCAGTCCGTCCATTGAAGAGACCTTGCCCAAAGCCAGACCATTGAGCCTTTAACCTGCAGGGTTGTAAGGGCCTTTGTTTAGTTTTCACTCGATCACATTGAGGTGCTTTGCCCTATTCAACGGAACTGTTTGACAAAGAGCCCAGCGTCTGCACTTGGGCCGGACTGCACCGACTCTGTCATGGCGTCGCAGACACGTGCACGCACCTCCGGGGGAAGGTTCCGTGACGTCTTTCAAACGGATGCGCCATGCCGATTCGAAGGCAAGATGCGCTGCGCTGGGTGGGCTGAAACACGTATTACTATGCTCCTCGATGACGAGCCGAAGTAGAAGAAATAGATCAAGTTGGAAGAAGCAATTTAAAATTGTCAAACCGTGCTGAACTTTTGATTCCCGAATGAATATTGCTACAGTGTGTTCGTGTCATCGCGGTTAGGTGCCTAACTAAATACCTAGGTACCTGCATTCTTGGGCAGGCCAGGTTTTGGGTGCCAGGAGAGAGAGGATGTACAGGGTCATGACGCGCTAAAAAGAGGCTAAAAAAGAGTCCACCGTGGCCACGACTCGGCAAGCTCCAGCCCCTGCAGCGTACATTCCTGACGCGAGGGCACGAATAAGGACGCCTCGGGTACCAAAGAGCTGCAAAAGAATGAAAATAAAGAAGGAATGATGGATTAAGAACAACAGAAAACAAAGAGCAAATGAAACCATAAAAAAAGAGGCCTCAGCTGACTGCCTGCCTTTGAACCTGGCCATGTTAGTCGAACTCAGGCCAAGCTTTGACAATTAAAAAGACCCATCCGTCATCCACTGCCGGCCCGTTTGACGTCGCCGCACCGAGGCTTGCCATCTGCACGAACGCTTTCAACGGCTCCAGCTTATTGACTGCTGGCCCACGCCATAGCGGATATCTCATCTTAGACGTCCTTGTACAGACCCTCGGTCGCTCCGTTGTTTGTTGTCCTTGTTGTCGTCGTCACCATAACTACATTGATCGAATCAAGTCGACAACTTTTCTCCCTCGACCGCCCGCCCGAACCAAGCCGCCACTTTGGTCACAACTACACAATCCCGCCGCATAAACAGCACCATTATGTCGGCAACAATGGTCGCTACCGTCGCGCAACCATCTATCAGTATCAAAGGCAGCGCCGCCGACAGCTCCCACTGCCCGAGCTGCGGCTCCGATGTGCCGTTGCTGCTGCCGCCGCCGCCCGAGGATCTTGCCGCTGCGCAGGCACGCATAGCCGAGCTCGAGGGCGAGGTGCGCGCCCTCAACGACAAGGCCGCCATGGCCATCAACCGCTGGGCCGAGTACGAGGTCGAGCTGGCCCGCCTGCGATCCTCGCCGCCGCGCCGCGGCCCAACATCAGCAGCACAGAGCCCGACGACGCGCAGCAGCCCCTCGTCCTACCTGCAACAGAGCACCGAGCGCATCTCGGCGCTGCTCTACTCACGCAAACCGTCCACCTCGAGCCTGCGCGGGGGCCAGCCGCCGCCTACGCTCCAGACGACCATGTCGGGCGGCGGCGGCGGCGGCGATTCGCTGCTGGCCACGCCCACAACGCCGACCGTCGCGCAACACATGACGGAGGACCTCCTTGAGGCGCTCACCCGCGAGCAGGGCCTGCGCCAGGAAGCCGAGGGCCGCCTCAGCGCCACGAGCAAGGAAATGGAGGAGCTGAGCGTGGCGCTGTTTGAGCAGGCAAACGAAATGGTGGCGGACGAGCGCCGCGCGCGCGCCAAGCTCGAGGAGCGCGTGGGAGAGCTGGAGAAGCGGGATGCGGATAAGAAGAGGCGGCTTGATCGGCTGGAGAGCGCGATAAACCGCATCGAGCGTGTCAAGAGCCTCCTTCAAGAATGAGCGGCTGGGACCATAATATCTAATCATACCTACATTACGACATTTTACGACGAGGGATGAAAGCAACAGTATTCATCCCGCAAAGAAAGCAAAACTCGGGCAATTTCGATACATCTTCAGCTAATATTGTCGTTTTGCGCATCGAGATGCTCCTTAGGCTCTGGCACCATCTACCGTGTCGAGCCATTGGAACTGGTGGCGCTCTTGATCGGCATGGTTGTGAAACACGACAAACCTGTAAAGGACAGCAAAAACAGACGAAACACCGGAGCGCATCCGCCGTGGGAAATCATAATGATTATGTTTCACCAGATTTCCTTTCTTCTGACTCGTTGACGAGTTTTGTTGCAGGGGCTGTGTTTGCCCGAATCGAGTTTCGAGCACACACATTCAAGATTCTAATACAGTTGCCGACATGATTGGCACCGAACTTTTTACTATAATTCCAGGCAGGGCTTTCGATTTTGATATCTTTTTTTTTCTTACCAGTATGGGAAAAGGGGGGTTAAAGCATAGCATTGCGAGGGGAGACTTTTTGATCTTTTTGGGGTTGGTTTTGGTCTTTCCGAAATCGGCAATTTTTCTTTCTTGTATTACTTGTTACTTCAATCAGGAGAGACAAAGAGGTTTTTTGCGAAAATACAGAATTGTTAATCACACGATTTTCTTTTCGTTTGCCTCTCGCTGAATCGATTTCCATTACAATGCAAAAGTGACGTTTGCCATGAAGCTTCGGAGCTTCGTGCTTGGCATGCCCCTATCGAGCTTGACAGCCCGCAGTGGTGCAAGTTATGGATTTCTTGCGCGGCGAGCCTGCTCGTAGAATGCCAATATTATGTGGAGAAGTTTTGTTGTTGGCTCTGCGCCGGAATGTCTTTTTTTCTTCGCCTCTGATTCGCAGTTAGACGGGAGTTTTCATCTGGGTCTGACAACATGTCGGCGGGCATTGGCGCTGAGCAATGGCGATGGTGCAGTCATTATTGGAGGATAACCCCTGTATATCTTTGATAACTGTGACGCACAATTTTGTCTCCTTTCTCACCACTCTCAGGTTATAGTCTAACTGCTCTGGCTCAGGTAGTGTCGTGACGCGTCCGCAAAAATGCTTCAATATATTCACTTTTTATACCTGAATATGCTCAAATCCCAGAAGATGCCATATCCAAACGACTTGCAGCCCATAAAAACAACTCCCTTTGCAATTTGGTATCTCGCTACTCCTTTGCCATCTCGTCCATGATCCACTTCTCCAAGCCGCCCTTTGCGATAATCTCTTGCAGGTTCGCGGGGAACTCGCCCACCTTTTCCTCCCACTGCTCGCCGCCCTCGCCCTCCTGGACCTGGACGACGCTCCGTGCCACGTCCCACGTGAGCGTCCAGCCCGTGCGCCGCGTCGTGACCTTGTCGGTGAAGACGGCGCGCAGGCGCTCCACCAGCCGCGGGACTTCGAGGCCCAGCAGACCGTTGTTGATGCTGTTGCGGGAAAAGATGCTGCCGAAGCTGCCCGACACGACTAGCGGGATCTGTTTGGCCAGCAGCGCCGTGGCGGCCTGCTCTCTCGACGAACCGCAGCCAAAGTTGTAGCCCGACACCAAAATGTCGTTGGGCTTGGCAACGTGGCGAAACTCGGGGTCGTAATTCTCCATGCACACCTGGGCCATGGTCTCTTTGGTGAGGTCGTCCTGGTACGTATACTTTCCAGCGTAGATATTGTCCGTGTCCAGGTTATCCATGTCGCAAAAGACAATTTCGCCGGATATCTTCTCGGGGAAGCCGGACAGGATCTGGGTACCGCCCTGGGAGGACTCATCGCCGCCGGCAGAGGATTCGACGCGGTCGATGAGGGATTCGAGCTGCTCAAGGACGTTTCCGAGTTGGCTCTCCGTCGTCTCGGGCGCGCCAGTGCCGTACCCGTGCTCCACGCCCTTGTAGTCTTCCGGCACCGTGTAGGCGTCCGTTCCTGAGATGAAGCCGCTGAGGGCGCTGGCGGCGACAACCTCGGGGCTCGAGAGGTAAGCCAGCGCATCTCGGCTGCCCATGCGTCCCTTGAAGTTGCGGTTCGAAGCAGAGATGCCCACCTCGCCCGGCTCCAAGAGACCGGCCCCCATGCCAATACACGGCCCGCAAGCAGCGGGCAGTTCAATGCTGCCGGCCTCAAGCAGAGCTTGCCAGTCACCTGCATCCTCTGCAGCTTCCTGCTCGCGGGCCGAAGCCGCAGCAATGTACAGCTTGACACCGTCCGCAATCTTGGGAATCTTGCCGCCGTTGGCCTTGGCCGCGTCCTTGAAGACCTTGGCGGCAGCTGCAAGATCAGAGGCTCGGCTGTTGGTGCACGACACGATGTAGGCCTTGTCCACCTTGATCTTCTTGGGCGCAAGCTCGTTCAGCGGTGTTGAAATCTTGACAGAGTTGGGGCCTGAAACATATGGTGAGACAGTGGAAAGGTTGATATAAAGTTGCTTGGCGTATTGAGCGTTCGGATCGGCCCTAGGGGGATTGGCGTAGAGTTCGTCGATCTTTTCGTGCGTGATGCGCTCGATAGTATTGCGTTCGGGACACATGGCCGCCTCCGTCGCCTTGTAGCGGAGCCAGCGCTCCAAAGTCTTGTCCACAGGGAACTGTTGCAAACGCTCATTAGCAATGACCAACACCAGAGATGAGGTAAATGACGTACCAGCCCTGTTAGGGCACCCCATTCAGTACACATGTTGCTAATCGAGATCCTATCATCGATCGGAATGCTTGCCATGGTCTCTTCGGATCCGGAGAATTCGACTGCGTGATTCAGCACATCGCTTTGGAACAGTCCGCACAGTGCGACAATGACATCTTTTCCGGCAACACCGGGAGGAAGGACACCAGTGAAATTGACCTTGGCTACCGGGGGAACCTGGAACCAGGTTTGACCGGTCGCCCAAATGCCCGCGGCGTCCGTCCTCACCACAGAGAACCCTCCGGCGCCAAGCGCAGAGTAACTCGTTGAATGTGAGTCGGACCCAACACAGAGCTTGCCTGGCCAAACAAATAATTCCTCAATCTGATAACATGTCAGTATTCCAGTCTGGCCTCGGACAAACTAGACGACGTACCATCACCTGATGAGATATTCCGTGTCCCGCAGGGTAGAAAGCCACGTCATTTTGCTCAGCAAAAGCTTCAATCATTTTGTATTTTTTGAGGTTGGTCTCCGATTTGTTCTGCACGTCGTGATCGATCGCAAACACCATTTGCTTGGGGTCCTTGAGACCCTTAAAGTCCGGCCACTTTAATACCTTTCCCATCACGGCAGCCGTATTATCGTGTGTGAGTAATCTCCATGGTTTGACTGAGACGAACGACCCGCTTCGCACAGTCTTCCCTGGCGGCAGACCGACGGCGTGGTCCTGAATGATCTTTTCGGTCAGAGTCTGGGGCCCTCTCTTCTCCTCGGCCGGTGGAGCAGCCCAAGAAGTCTCGTCCAGAGTCGCGCGGTTGGCAGTTGTCGTTCCGATGGTACGGTACTGGCATCGCACGTGTCGAGTTACGGACGCTGTGGGTTGAAGACGCTGGCTGGAAATCGTCGTGGTCGCGATAGGACGTCTGGCTCGGCTAAGCATGCGCGCCCATTGCGCAGAGGCGGCGACCTGGAAAGGGAGTTAGCAGGTATGATAGACGGTTGGCAAAAAAAGAAAAGAAAGACGAACCGGTCTGTACGACATGGCGCGCAAGACTCGACAGGTCGCAATTGAAAAATAAAAATAGAATTAAAGTGAAGCTTTAGCTGAAGTTTGGGAAGCAGGCTGACTCTAACAAGTCTTGCGCAAAGCCGAAGACGGAGCCAGGTGGGGCGTTGAAATTGGTAAAATTCAAACTCTAATTCGTCAGATCAGTGCCAAGCAGGTCCGCCAGGGATGATCCCATATAAGTGAATCTTGCATATACAGTAGTTTGCTGACGTACTTTAACAGATTTTCTAGTTAATTCCAAAATAGCAAGAGAATATGCTAGGTATTGTCTGCGATTTGCTTTTTAGAGAGTTTTAAGAAGCCAGTACGTGAGTTGGATATAGCGCATGTGCGAGACTTCGTTCTAGATGAATACGACACAGCGTGCGATACGCTTATTTAACTTGGCGCATGCAGAATAGAGTAAAATATAAAAGTATTTATGTAATAAACTTTGTATCTAACTCTTCGCCGATACAGAAAACACCTTTCGAATATATTTAGAACCATCTAGCATACAGTCGGATCTAATGCGAAGGACTAAAGTGGTAGTTTCATTGAGTCAGAGTCGGTCCAGCTTCATCCCAAATGCCCTTGAAAAACCTCATGTAACTTATACCTCTTCTGAGAAAAGTGAAATAGGATATATCCATTCTGAAAATCTTTCCAAGCAAGTAGAAAATTCTCATATGGGGAAAGAACCGCGACAATCCGGTCATTTAGTGTCACTGCCCGTGTGGCAGTCGCGGCCAAAGACTCCAGCTCCGTTATGCCCAAAAAATTGGCATGATTCGCAATATAACAATTTTCCTCGTTTCCTATAACACGTTCTTTGTAAAAGGATAGTATGTCGTTGACAATGTCTATCCACTCTGCAATCTCTGGAATGGCTGCAAGGAAGTCTCCCAGTCTATCGTGCTCAGGAAATATCGAATTCGGGAATAAGAAAAACGCATGCGCTTCGCCATCACCACTTTTCCGCCTAAACCAACCGGGAAGTTGGTCCGCCAAGGCTGGAAATCCATTTGGATACTGAAATTCGACCCCAGTAGCTGCAAGCAAATCGATGGAACTCTTAATGATGCAGCTTGTGGCGTAAGGACCGAATAATTTGCAGGTTTCATAGGCGATGTGGCGTGCAAAATGATCGTAATGAGGGTCCCCTTGGGGCTCGTTTTTGACCAGCCTTTCTGCGAATCCTTGTAGCCTTTTCACCCTCTCTGTCACTGTCCCTTCATCCATGTAGATGGTGAGGCTAGTGTATATGGCAATGTAAAGTTTGACTTCCGCCGGCACATGACGGTACGCAATATTGGTAAGATCATAGCCTATCTGAATGGGTCTCAGAATATCTTTGTAGTAAGTTGTCGATAGATCATTAAATCGGAAGGCCTCCTCCACGTTCTGGAGTAGTTGCGGGTCCTCCGGGACTGGTTCCTGACTTCTGTCATAGCCCAGATTCTTGAGCAGTTCAATCAAAATAGACCTATATTGGTTGAGATAAGAAGAAGTGTTGACGGTGACCCCAACAAGGGCCACCGTGGCTGACATTCTCATGCGTATTGTAGCTTAATCAGAGAGGGTTTGTAGAAGCATTTTGTATTCAGCTGAGGCGATGACTATGAAGAAATTGTAGAAAGCATGGCAATGGGAAAGGTTTACATACCATTTATTATTCTCGGACCTCGCTTGGACTGTAATACTTCCTTACGAGATGGGCTTCAACGCAAGCAGTGGCAAAAAAAAGGGACACACTCTTCTAGCTATATTTTAGACTTTTTACGTAAATGACCAAACTGGTAACTACGCCGTATTTCTCGTAATTATGATGACACCTATTCCTAGTTTTCGGCCCTCGCTGTTTACTTACGATATAAAACCTCTCCCCCTGACATAATATCTATATGAGGTTACTGCATAACGCCCCGCCGTGATGAACCTGCGTGCGAATTCGGGGGGAGGAGACTAAATATACCCAGTTTGCCAATAGTGTAGTATTACCATATATGACGAAAGTCTTGGAGGTCATATCATAATGATATGGGCAGGTCCGCCGCCATATCATATGAGCCCTATATGATATGACCACGATATATGGTAGTACGCACGACTATATTATTTGCGTGACCCTGCTGATACTAAGCCAGCGAAAAAGAATTACAATACACTAAGTATAGCCTCAGACCGAAAGCAAATTTAATCTATTGTCTAGCGTAGTTATATGAAGGCCGTCATCCGCAAAAGCCAATCTACCATCTTTGCTAAGCAATGATTTAAGGCATTCAGTCGCTTCGATGCTCTCAATGCCCATGCGGTGTCTACGATCAGTGATGGTGATTTCCGTACACAAAAATAAGCGTTCTGGCTCCGCCAACATGGCCGAAATGGATAATACATATATCTGATGAATGTATTCCCCTTTTACTATGATTCATTTTAACTTTAAATATTTTATATATTAGTCTACCCTTCATACCCTCTTAGTAATTTTGAATCTGCAGTTATGGGGTCCTATTATAAATGACTGTTATTGTTAGCACAGCTTCTCAACTTCTGGTGCAACATCTCTCTGCACCTGGGGAAGGTATTTACCTCATTAAAAAGAAACTCTTTTCTCTTTGGTTGTTTCCATTTTATACTCCGAACCAGCTCACACAATGCAACTTTGAGCTCCAATAGTGCAAAAGTGCTGCCCAAACATCTGCGACTGTGTAGACTGAAGGGCACGAAACGGCCGCGCGCTTGGCTCGAGCGAGCCATGCTCTTGATACTATCAATGTCATGGCCCCATCTGAAAGGATCGAATTCTCTTGCAGACTCTCCCCAGACCTGCGGATCGGTTTGAACGCCAAGAACGTTCCATCCCACCATAGTCCCTGCGGGTAACAATATTTCGGAGCCAAGTTGCATCGGCTTCACAGTCCTGCGGTTCGTCAGGGTCCCCAAAGGAGGGTAGAGCCGCAGAGTCTCATAAATGACGGCGGCAAGCAGCGGGAGACGGTCAATATCCCCAGAGGTGTAGTCTGACGGCAGCATGTTCATGACTTCACTGTGCAGCTGTTCTTGAATATCGACATGGACGGCGAGATTGAACATGGCTGATTGCAACGCTGCTTCAACATTCTCGTGGCCGGCTACAAGAAGCTGCTTGAGATTAGACCGATAATGAAAGTCGGATAGCTTTCCAGAGTGGCGTGCGCGAACCAAATGATGGACCATCTTCAGCTCACTCGTACCAGATGCTGGAAAAATGCGGCTCTCAGCAATATCGACTAGAGTGTCCTCCAGCTGCTGGATTACAGCCGCCGCCTTCCTGTAACTAGCTGGCCGCCAGGGTAAAGAGAAAGTCACATTGAAGATGACCATTGCTCTTGCCATCCAACTCGAGCTTTGGAGGGCAGTTATTTTTTGTGCCGACGTTTGTTCAAAAGACAGAGGCCACTCGTCTATATCCATGAAGTAATGTGAGTAAATGGTGACGGCCCAGCGCCAGATCAAGGAGTCAATGGATATTCCCACATTGGAAACGTCCAGTTGCTGCGCGTCGTGAAGCCTATTCGCAAGGGAAGAAGACTCAGATCTCATGAAATCGATTGCAAACCGTTGCAATAAAGCTGGTTTCAGGATATTGCAGAAATCAGCATGGAGTTCACCATTAGAGTCTATGATGTTCTCTCCGAATAGTAAGCCACCATTGCTGCGAGGAACCCGTGACCATATCCCGCTTTTTTCCACGTCTTTGTTTGAATCCTTAAAGACTTGCGCCAAGTAGTCAGGGCGTGAGAGGACGATGCTCCAGCAGTTTCCCTGCCAGACAGCCACGGCGCCATGCTTTTCCGCCTGCGGGCGCACTTTGGTGTTATAAAAGGCGATTCGAGATTTTCGAAAGATCTGATTGTGTGCCTGCAGCCAAAGTGGAATGACGGGAACGTTTCGAGGAAAGTCTCGCGGTCGCGACGTCAGAAAGGCCACGGCTGCGCACGGCAACAGAACAAGAAGAATAGTAGACACCAAGTAAAACATTTTGAAAACAGTGGTTTTCTGTGACGCCTGTTGTTAGTGGATTGAACTTTTCACTTTATACACATACTTGCAGAACGCTTCGTTCCAGAGCGCACGGGATGGTGTACACAAGAATGACTCGGAATTGAAGGGCCCCGTATCCGTACTTTGGTGGTGTTCATGTTATCATAGATGAATTCGCTCAGGCATGCGTTGCTTGTCTCAAGCTGGAACATCAAGCTGCATGTCTCATGGTGGCCAAAAAAAGTGGCTGATCAATAGGTGTGAGACCAGCTTCCGCCTCTTCCCGCAACATTTACGGCTATCCTGTCCCTGTCAATGACGTCTGAAGTATCCGAAGGTACCTGTACTTTGTAGAAAAGCAAATACCAGCGATGGACTTTCCGGGCCAGCCTCCTTCATTATTATTTGCCCCAAGGATCCATCCATGCCTCTCTATTGCGCATTTCTTTCATTGTCAAGACACAGAAGATGAGTATCTGGCGCGAATTGCTGAGTGCCCTGCTGGCTGGGGCACTATTATATGTCGGTGTTACACTCTGGAGATATACCGTCGCATTGATGCTAACACAATGCTCAGGCAGCTTTGAAACCAGTCACGAGGCGAACTGCTAAACTTCCTGGCCCTTGGTACTCGAATTGGACCAGTGCGGTGCTGAAATACAAGTGGCTCACCGGGCAAAGACCTTTATATGTTCATGATTTACACCTGAAATACGGTACGTGAAGAAAGGCTCAGAGTAGCGTTGCCTTTGTATGGGTCACAGTCACCAACTGATTCAACTCATCAGGCCCGGTGGTCCGCATTGCCCCTGATGAAGTGGACGTTACAGATATCGAGGCCGTCAAAGAAATTTACGACAGCCAGGAAACGTTCAAAAAGTCGTCATTCTATAGGAAATTGACAGCAGTCCGCACACCTGTTCTTTTTGCCCTCTCCGATGTTACCACGCACAGGCGACTGCGGCGGCTTATGAGCACGCCTCTTTCAGTATCTTCTCTGAAGACACAATTTCCATTGGTACGATCGCGAGTTGAGCTATACATCAAGAAGGTCAAGGACGAGAAAATATCTAGAGGCGTTGCAGACCTGTTCAAATGGAACATGTTCCTGGCCACTGATGTCGTCGGCGAACTGTCTTTCGGGACATCATTCAATACACTCGAGCTGGGCAAGGTAAGCGAGTACTTGACTATCATCAAGCATCATGTATCGGAGAATGCTGATAATGACGAACATTGCTTGATAGAAAAACGACTATGTGAATCTCATAGAGAGTATCGGGCCGATGGGTGCTCTACGGAGTGCGTTCCCTTTAATGGCGTCACTGGCCTTTACCCTGCCTATTCCAGTCTTCAGATCTGTAGCAGATGCATCGAAGCGAATACGTCACTACGCTCAAGAGTCCCTGAGCCGGTATTACAAGCTCGCATCGTCGGACACGGACGATGTACACCACACCTTGTTCACAAAGCTACGCCGGTCAGAGCAAAATGGAGAAATCTCATTTGAAGAGATCTGTGCCAACGCACAGGGATATATCTTGGCTGGCAGCGACACAACAGCGAGCACCTTGACTTATCTCATTTGGTCCGTCTGCCAGCGACCGGACATCAAAGAGGAGCTGGTCGAGCAGCTCAAGACCCTGCCGCCCGATTTTGACGACGACAGCCTGCGTAACATGCCAATTCTGGGCAACGTGATTGATGAGACGCTCCGACTCTTCCCGGCAGCCCCTTCAGGTCTTCCCCGCGAGACTCCTCCAGAAGGAGCCACCATTGCGGGCTACCGAGTCGACGGAGGCACAGTGCTCTGTGCACAACCTTACAGCATGCATCGAGACCCGGCCGTGTTTCCGAATCCTGAGCACTTTGACCCCCATCGCTGGCAGGAGCCAACAAAGGCCATGCTTGACGCTTTTATGCCATTTGGCAAGGGACCTAGGGGTGAGTGGTGAATGAGCCAGCTGAGCCAGTTGAGCGGAGAGATTTACTAACAAACGTGGCATGCAGTATGTATCGGGATGAATCTAGCGAGGATGGAGCTTCGCGTGGCGACTGCGAAATTCTTTTTGGAGTTTCCCAACGCCATTGTGTCGACTCGCGAGGGATTCTCGAGCAAAGATATGCAGCGAAGGATGTTTTTTGTGTCCAACCCTGCCGGGAGACGCTGCCTTGTCGAGGTGTGAGGCCAACAGAGTGATGGGATGTGATGCAATAGTATTGTGCTATCTATAGTATGCAACTGTTGACACTCTGTTGTAATTATTGACTAGTTGTGATCTTTGGTGAACATGAAAAGTGAAACATACCTCGTACTCTATGTGACTGTTCCCAGAGGAGGTTTGGGAGTTTGCATTGGGGCTTAGCCGAACATTGGGACATCGTGCTAGGGGCATCGGGACTGCGGAAAGACATGTATGATGAGCTCACTGAATTCAATAGCTTGTTTAGCAAATTTGATATTTGAACGTAGAGCAGAAACATTTTGAACGGCGAGCGTTACGCAGCCAGTCTGCTAATTTGGCCACGAGTGAAGACATGCACCACTATTTCCGAGGATACAAAACTGTTTTACAACGTCAAAAATGTCAACAGAACAAGATTCATTATAGCACTAATACACTATAGAAGAGTTTCGTGGTTGAATCCAATAAATTAGGATTCAGACAGTCTTTAGCCGAAGCGCTCACTTGGATGGTGGCGCGAGCGTCGAGGTAACAAACGCAAACAATCTCTCCAGCCAGGATCGCGAGTCGACATCCACCTGCTGGCTCACTCCGCTGATGGGATACTCCTTGGTGTGCTTCCACGGGAAAACGTGCAGATTCTGGGCATTGAGCAAGTTGACGTACTTGGCAAACGCGCTCACCATGGCCAAGAGATCCTCCCGCGCGTCCGCCTTGTTCCTGTTCTGCAGGACAGACTTTTTGATCATGGCCGTGATGGCCTCGTGCGTCGAAAAGAGGTAGTTGGCGCCCGTGTAGCCGACAAACTCGGAGGGCACCGAGGCAAAGACGGTGTAGAGCGCGGCGAGCTGTTCCAGGTCAAAATTGGGCTGCGTGGCTGCGACTTTGAGAATGTTGTTCAAGACGTTGTAGCCCAACGGTCGGATTTCACCATTGATGAATACCATAGTCGCAAAGTATGATCCTTTGGAGCCTGCTAGGGAAGGAGAGAGTCCCTGATGAACTTTGGCGAGATCCTTGGATATTCCTGACCAGGAGGCTTCAGTCTGAGGGTGATGGAGTTAGTACATGAGTCAGACAAAAGGATTGGAGAACCAAAAAAAAAAAGAAGAAAAAAAAAGAAACTTGAACGGAAGCCTCATGGCTGATGCTTACCTCTTGATGAATTGCCGCCACGAGGTCTCGGATCTCTGGCGAAACCCCAGCTCTTTCAAGCGCGAGGGGGATCCGCCCCTTTGGCTTGGGCTGGCTGGCATCCCAAACAATCACCTCAATGACTTGCTTCGTCTCGTTGCAGGCCTTCCAGATGCCCCGGCCCGCGGTGCGCAGCTTGTCCATGTCTTCCGGGACAATGTTGCCGCACGGCGCGGCAGGTAGGTACTCTGTGAGCGGGCCATACTTGACAGCTAGATGCTGAAGTCCCGAGAGAAATACTGTGCCGTCCGGCTCAGTGGTCCGGTCCGGGACTTTAAAATCTGCTTTGGTGTACTGAAGCGGCACAGTTGGCTATTAACATTTGGTCGTTTTTATTTTGGTGGTCTCTTTCTTGGGAAGGGGTTTTTTTTTGGGGGAAGTGTTGTATAACTGTGCCACTTACAATGAGCTTCTCCGTCGGCACCAGGTGGTAAAGGTGGTCTCCAGACACAAGAGCGTGGTTCTGGAGAGAGCGATAGGGTAGATTCTCGTAGAGCAGGTCAACCAAAGCTGGATTAACATCGTGGCGCATCTCAGCCGTCACGGTGATGTTGAGCTGCGGCCAGCAGATGTTTATCCGACGGGTAGATACCATTTTTGCAGAATTGTCAGAATGAAGCCCAAGTATAAAGCAGTGACAAGATAAGAGCAAGGTACAACAGTAAATCGTTTCAAGCCCCATTAGGCTCGCAGCTTCTCAAGTTCTTATACTCAACAAAACTCTAGCTACAGCGGCCTGTTTTCCTATCCTAGCCCGTCTCCGTCAAGTTCCCCACGATGAGCTACTCGTAAGCAGAACTGCAGTATCGACGCTTCCGATCGTCGATTCACAACAAAGTGAACCCCGCCGGCGAAGCAATATTTTCAAGCCCGTATTTTGTTACAAGACATGTTTTAACATGACTTGGGACTACCAACCGAGACAAGAGTTCAATACGACTTGCGCAGTCACCCGGCGATATGTTTGTGAAACTGAGGATCCCTTGGGCTGTGCGGCGGCTCCAAAGAGTATTTCTATCCACATATAACCAGGCTGTAATACATTACGAGTATATAATTGCAGGGATTATTACCATTATTACCTAGATCTTAGTGTATTTATCGGTATTTGTGGAAAGTGACAGTACTTTAATGAACTAGGAGACATCACCAAAATCTAGGTACCTTGAGCAGTGTATACTATCATTGGTTACTATCCCTTGTGAGTGACCGCTTTGGAGCCGCTGCACATGCAAAGGAACAGTTTGCCCGTTGAAGCTAGTGATTGTCGCATTAATGTAGGTTGCAACAGATCAGGACTTGCACACACTTACCGTGCACTCGCACGTGCCTCACTCCCGGCGCGAAAAAGAAAAGAACTAAGAGATGGAAAAAGAAAAGAAGAAAAGAAGAAAAAAAAAGAAAAAAAAAGAAAAAAAAAGGCTAAAACTACTGCTAATCCCTGCAGAACTACGAAAATAGACCGAGCTCCAAATCCGGAAGCCCTGTAAACTGGGCCGCCGATGCATAATACTGACCGCTGGTTCCAGTGTGTCAACAACAGCAAACTAGGATAATTTGAATACATCAGATAAATCTAAGAAGATATTTTAATTAAATTAAGATGGGCAGGTAATTTCTCTCTTTGAAATGATAGGTATTATTGCTAGATGATGGCTTACGCTCAAAGTGAGCCTTCTATCTGGACTTGCTGGATTTTGTCCAGTTTAAGCTGCAATGTTCTTCGTGGTCTTCTTTCATCTCATCATGTCGTAATCATCAACTCGTCATGCATAGAATAAAGGCTGAGCACAACCATGTCATAACCTCTACTGCCGAGTGGTGCTGTTTCATACACTTCAGCGGCAAGAGTTTTAAGCTGCGTGTCTGATATTTGGCTCTACGAGTACAGGTACTTTGTCGAGCACTTTTGCCGTGTGGGCAGTGCTTCATCCCACCTTTTGCCGTGCATTTGTGGCTGCCTATTGCAGTGTTTGTGTGGCCGAGACTTCGGATGAAAGCTCTGATTGTGGGAACATGTCTGACGATTTTGCGATCGGTTTCAGAACCGCAGTGCGACATTTCAATCGTGCTCATGCAACCTATTGACCTAGTTCACACAAAGGTTACAAAACAGACCGCCGGTGCTCAAGCAGATGTGTCAGCAACAGCAGTGTATTTCTCTACGCACGATATGTTATAAAATATAAGATAAATCTTACCAAATTTTTTATATCATTCTCTATATAGCAGATGCTTTCGCTAGGAGACTCACTCTTAATTTTGTCCTTTTTCCCTATCATTAAGAATGAGCCTTACTCCGTGTGCCGGCGATCTGTTTTTGTCACCCTTGGGGTTCAGTAGGACGATCTAGAATGTCCTCGCGGGCCGCCCGATCGACTGCAACAATAGCTCCACATCTTTGAGTCAGTGTACTGGTATAATTCCTTTTCATTTTGATACTACGTCGGATGATCATGGAGCCGATAAGACTCACTTGTACACGTTGTGATGTCGTAGACGTCCAGAAATAGTCTCACGCCTCCTGTGCAACGATCAGTTGTCATCATCGTGACTTGGAAACGACATCTTCCAATTAGAATCACTGCGAGACTATTCATCTTCAGAAGCAAGTAACTCTCTGCCATCATTTCATCTCTTCTGCATATCCACTCAGACCCTTAGCTCTTAGCGTTGATTGCCGAATTACCTCTGTCGCATTGTGGCTCAGCCTACGCTGCCACTTCTTCCCAACGTCAGAACCACCGCCAGCATGGGAATGGCAACTTTTCCACAGGACCCAATACTGGTCCAGCTTCTTATTGCTAGTCAACATGTTGCTGACCCAGAACCCATGATTCACGATGTCATGGGCTTCTCGAAAAGCTATGGGCATCTGCTTGGGGACATACTCGCCACGCGCCAGCGTCTCCTGCTGCAGCTTCCTGAAACAGTGCTGGATCAGAGAGGATTGCTGAAGGAAGTGTCTCCATATATTTTTCTCTTTTACCAAAGCGCTTACGAATTCTTGGTTGGCTTTTTCGCCATACGCGCCCTTGGTGGCGCTGCCATGCCCCTGTGTAAGTCCGTGTCGTCTACTTGGCAAGGAGTGACCATTTTTGAGAGAAGGTAACTAATGAAGCTGATTTAGCCGAGGGTATCCTTCCAGAAGAGGCAAAGTATTTTCAGTCAAAGACGAGAGCATCATGCATCCTTTTTGGCAAGGGCTGTGATGTAAAGGTTGCTGCCATTTGCGCAGCAGTGCTCGAAAGCAATGACTCGCCTCTATTTGCATCGTGCTCCATTTGCACAGATGCCGACGCGCAAGTCGCAGCCAACGTGGCAATTGACGACGCGCAATCTTTAGATCCAAGTGGCCCTGGTATCGTATTTCTCACATCAGGCACCTCGGGTCCCCCAAAGGCAGCAGTACTTCCCAGGCGGAGCCTCGCCGTCAAGTACCTTGTCCCGGCGGGAAGCGCCTCCCTCAACCATCGAGCGGGCCATTGGATTGGTGGCGCTGATACAATGATTGAACCAATCTTGACCGGACATACCTTGCACTGCATCGGCTTCAAAGCGACTCTGGATGAGGTTTTGCAGGCCTATGTCAACAACCGCATCACTCACGCCATGTTTGCCCCTCGCGTACTAGCAAGCCTGAAGGATGCCATTGTCGGACCATCGGGCACCCTCTCAGATGACGTCAAAGCAAAGTATTCTGACTTATTCAGAGGTCTGCCGACAATTTTGTGCGGAGGAAACTTTATTGATCCGGCCGTTGCCAGTTTCTGGGTCGAATTGACAGGTCGACCGCTTCAAAACTTTTACGCAAGCACCGAATGTGGCATCAGAGTGTGTAGCAGTATCTCTGGGCCTGAAGTATGTGTATCCTTCGTTCTTGACGCGATCTCAGGGTTAACATCAGAGTACAGGGTTGTATCGGAGTTCCCGTTGAAGGTGTAGAGATGAAGCTATCTCGTGAGCCGGTGGGCGAAATCAGGCTCAGAAGCGCGACAATGTTTACTCAGTAAGCCATATTACCGAAAATCTCATATCCTGCGGCGACGTTGTATGCGCTTGTCAGTACTAAATGCAGCGAGTTCAGTTACATTGGGGACATGGAGGCGACCCGTGCGGCTTTTGACGCGGACGGCTTCATGAAGACGGGGGACCTTGGGAAGCTTCAGGACGGCCAGTACTACATCCTCGGCCGTGAGAACATTGACTGTACGTCACCGCAATAAGAATCAGACATTATCGCGCCCCAAGCTAAAAACCTTTAGATGTACGTTTCGGGCACTTGGAATTCCCAGCGGCCGAAGTGGAAAGAGCGCTGCTCAATCTTCCGTATATATCAGAGGCTTGTGTCATTGGAGTGCCATTCCGCAATCCTCCGCAGTTATGCGCCGCGATCATTCGGGAGCACCCCGCGCAGGACGGCGGCTCCAGCAGGTCAGCAGCGTCAAGACCAGCAGCGGCCTCCCTGGGGGACGTCCGAAGCGCACTGCAGGACTCCGGAGTACTGCCCCTCTATATGCTTCCTTTTCTGCTGCGGGTGCTCGGCGAAAATGAAGCGCTGCCGCTGACGCAGTCTGGCAAGGTGGCAAAGGGCGCAGCGTTGAAAGCTTTCTTTGGGGGAACCGGACCGCACTCGGCTGACAGCCTGCCAACGGAAGTCGAGGTCTGGAACTCGATTCCTGCAGCAGACAAACTAGGTGTTGCGGAGGGAGAAAAGACTAGGAGAGCCTGGGACTGGGGTGGACTCCAGACGGTATAAATAAAGTACGCTTGCTTGGAAGGATGATATCAGTAGCAAAATGTACTGCCCTTATAGTTAAGACTGAGTTCAGTCTCATGACCGCGTACGTACCTTGCACTGATGACAATGTAATAGCACCAGCGTCTATTCTTATTACAATTATCTGCATGCTTGAAAAGTCCATGTCATGCGTTCCTATTTTGACCCGCCGTCACCCAATTTATTAGCGTAGGACTCGAAGTGCAAACAATCTACCTATGTAAGCGACCATAATCTGCACATCACTGCATGTATTGCTCAATCACGGATGAGCTGACAAGAATATAACAGGAGAGAAAAAAAAGATACCGTTCAATTTTATTTTTTTACCCCCTTCACCCTTCCGCCGCGATATTGGCCATCATGCCCAGCTTCTTTTTCAAACCCCAAAGTTTCAGGCACACGTGACTCCCGCGAACCGTTGCAGGCCCGCCAGCTTCGTCATCGGAGGCGCCCCAGCCTCCAGCGACGACGCTTTCAACTCCAAGACTGTAATTACAGCTCGGCTTGCATCAACACGACAGGCTTCGACCGACGACTCAAAACCGCGGCAATCACGGACCACGTTTAGCAGGAGCAGCAGGAGGTTTCGAATCTTTACACGCCATTCCCACTCGACGATACCTCGACATCTATCGCTACCAGCGACCGGGCATCATGGAGGAGGATCGTCTTTGGAAGTTTACCAAGCCCGAGTGGCTCAACAGCATACGCGCTCGTAATGCCGGCATCTACGTCGCCGGAGGACTGGTATGTTGTTCTCTTTTTCATCCGCCGCCGCTATCGTCCAGCCCGCGGCCCGGCGCATCTGATTAGCCCCGGCGCATCGCTCGCAGTTCCGAGCCAACCAGAAAGAAAAAAAAGAAAGGCACAGTCCAGCTAACCGCCGATCAAAATCCATGTAAACAGTTCTCCCTTGCCTTTTACACCATGCTCGACGCCGCCGTTTGGTCCAAGTCGGCCAACAACGGCTCCGACATTCACGTCAAGTTTGTCGACTGGCTGCCGCTCGTCTTCTCCTCGCTCGGCATGCTCATCATCAACTCGGTCGAGAAGCAGCGCCTGAGCGCCGACTCGTTTAGTTACAGCGGCTCCGGCGTCGCTTGGAAGGCCCGCGTGGTGCTGTTCCTGGGCTTCGCGTCCCTGGCCGGCGGCATGGCGGGCGGCGTGGCCGTGTTTGTGCTCAAGTACATTGTGCCGAGCGTCGGCTTCCCCGCGCTGGGCATGGGCATCGAGACGCTGGCTAGCAATGCCCTGGTAGGCTTTAGGTATGCCGCGGTGCTCCCTCATCTGATATGAATCGGTCACATATTTAGACGGCAGCTAACTGTTGGGCAGCTCCGTCGTGCTCTGGATCACCCAGAATATGGAGGACGAATACTCGTACAACCTCTCGCTTTGAACACCGATATTTAACGGACAAATATGAGCCTGTATGAGATGTGGGCATTCTCAATCGACCATTCAAGGCAAATGAATATTGCTCTGCTGGCAATTGTAAATGAGCTGCAGCTAGCTGTATGTCATAGTGGTGGTTCTGCTTGAATAGTTCTAGCATAGTTCTTTTGACAACATGGAAGCGTTGATTTTGGATACCCGGCGCCATAATATGCTCATCTCTGCCGTTTATCAGTAAATATAGCACTACAGCGATATTGGCACTTCCTCTGACGGTGACCAAGGGTCCTCGCTCGACCCCGACTGCTCGGCCTTGCCCCACCAAGCTGGCCGCCGTCCACCGCCAATATTGTTGTTAGCGCCGGGCGGCCCGTCATACAACATCGACCACCCCTGCTGTTAAGCACATCCATCTTTTTTTTTCAAACGCATATCATAAACAAACATACAGCCTACAGGTTATATCTCGTATTGTATCAAATTCGACAGACATGAACGAACGTAGTCGCACCGTCAGCGGCTCCCAGCACCACCACCACCACCACCACCCGCCACCGCTACAGCGCGCGCGCGCCGGCACAGTAGGCACAGCCTCCGCGGCACCATACCAGTCGACCCAACAAGCACCGGCGGCGCCCGCTGCCTCGCGAGATCGTCTCTTTCGCAGCCATCTGATCAGGCGGCCCACTGGCGGCGGCGGCGGCGGCGGCGGCGCCACCACCAGCGCAACGTCCACCTCGTCCATGGCGGCGGCAGCGACGCACGCCGACGCGGCGCTTCTGGCGGCAGAGGAGCAGCAGCAGCACCAGGCGGAGCGGTGCGAGATTGTGGTGCGCAACCACAACGGGGATATCGATCTCGAGGGCTCGCCGGTGGTGTCGTTGGACGACATTGACGAGATGGCGCTGGAGGCAAGGCATGAGACGGAGCGTAGGTTGTTGCCCTTGTTTGACCTGTTGGTTGAAAAAGAAAAAAAAAAGATCAGGACTGATTTGGAGCATAGAAGAGCGACAGAGACTGGCAGAGGCTGTCAAGCAGCATCGAATCAACCATACTACAGTCCCGGACCAACCCGAAGGTACGAACTCGGTTCCGGTATACGCTTTGCAACTTGACGCTGACACTGTCAAGAACTACTAGAGGCTGTTCGAGCAAGTCTACGCGCCAAGGTCAATGCTTTGGCTGACGACCACTGGATGTTTGACCCGGAAGATCCACCGCGAGGTTGAAAATTCCTTGTATCTTGCCTGCTATTTATATGCACATCACAAGCATGTGGTTGCCTAATCGGGGCTCTACCATGACGCTCGTATTTACTCTATGGTCCAAGGACAAAAGACAGCACAGCAGCTAGTCCAGCGCCTCGGCCGTAGGCGCAGCTAGACCCGGTCTCCTCCTCTGCTGCTGTTGCTGCTGGCCGCCCCCCGCGCCGCCCGCACCACCGCCTCCAAACAGGCCGCTCATCATGTCCATGAGCGGGTTGCTCTGCCGCGGCTTCTGGATCCCAAAGTACATTTCCGCAATCATCTCCAGCGCCTCGCCCCACCCGCCGACCTCGTCAATATGCGCCGCGTACTTGGACACCAGGCCCCGATACACCTCGGGCGCGCCGCGCTGCACCGCCAGCAGCAGCAGGCCTAGAAAGTTGAGCAGGGGCAGGCTCGGAAACACGCGCACATCGGCGCCCGAAGCCGACACGTCCTCTACGCCCAGCGCCGGGTTGTCGGCGCGCAGCGCGCTGGTGAATAGCTGGTAGCAGGTGTTGGCCGCGCGCACGTTGCCGATGAGCAGGTACGGCAGGACGGCGCGCGCGGCGTACATGGGCGCCGTGTGGGCGTCGGATTCCTTGTACCAGGCGTACTCCATCTTGAAGAGTACCTCGGCCGAGTCGCGCGTTCCGAGAATGAGGTGTTTTTCGGCTTCGTATGTTTCGTGCTCGGCGGCGTAGAGGGATCCGGCGACGTGGTGCAGCTCAGGGTCACCGGCGGGGTACTCGCCAAACTTGGAGGACCATCTAGGTGGACGGGTTTTAGCATTCCGAATGTAAAATTATACATGGATCAAAAAAACGAATAGTCTCAAGCAAAAAAAAAAAAAAAAAAACGTACGCCACTATTTCTGTAATGAACTTCTTGCGCGTGGGCTCCTCGCCGTCAAAGAGGCGCAGCGCCGTCAGCAAACGGCCCTTGTTCGTCGCGTCGGGCTTGAGCGCGGCCTGCTTGTAGACGTCGACCAGCATGACGCACAAGTCGCCGCCGCTGCCGCCCTGGCCGGCCTTGAGCAGCGACTGGGCCACGCTCGAGAGAATGTCAATGGCGGCGGGCCAGTTTTGCGTCTTGATGTGGCGCGAGGCGGCGACGCGGGTCTGTTGCTGGGCCTCGTAGTAGTCACCGTCGGCAATCTTTTGCTGCAGCCGAGCCACGATGCGGTCGACCTTGCTCGCCATGGTGTCGTGCTTTCGTCGCGGGGTCTTGTGAGGTGGGATTGTAGTGATGTCAACGGAGCGATTGAGGGAGCTGTCAAGGCTGCCAAAGTGTAGGTATCCACTGGAGCGGTGGGCTCGCATTATTAGGTATGACAGCATGAACGGCTGGTCGGGAGGATGCAGAGTTTGACTCGCTCAACCAAGTGCTTTGGAAATCAAGATTAAAAAAAAATCATCATCATCAAGTTTTCGATCGAACTGACTCTTGTCAGACGGTCGGTGGCCTCCTCTTGGGCCTTGAAAGGTCCTTTGCTCCACGCCAGAGGTTCCGCGTTGCCCCTCATCCGGGCCGCACTCTGGCTGGTGTGAATACCTCGGATGCGTTCTCCAGTAAGGCATTTTGCGAGGCTTTCACTTTCTATTATGATTGCAGTTCCAAGCTAATTACGGCCTGCCACGAAATGGTTCGGGGAATGTTCGAGAATGCGAGCCTCTTGCTCTGCGCCGTTTCGCGCCGCCGTTGTAATAAGTACATTAGGAAAACTGCATCAGCCACGAGGAAAATGGATTATTTGGTAGAAATAAATGGCATCTCAAAAGCTGTGAAACTGATAGTATGGAGCCATGCATGCCGTATCTTTGGACGTAGGGCTGAAGAGCTGATACTGTGCAGAAGTTGACTCGTCGACCCATTTCATGTATATCATATACTGCCGCCGCTTATCGTCACCCTTTCGCTATACTCTTTCCTTAAGTGCCTGAACTTTCTTGCCACAAAGGGCTGAACTTGCGATAAGTGTCATTGCACTTACGATTCCGGTATCAGAAGCTATGCTTGCAATTCACACAGATTTCGATTCTTGACGATGAGTTTCAGCTTTCCGCCGTGAGACAAGAAGCTTGGGCACCACAAGTCATAACTTCTATCGACCTGTCTAGAGATCATCGACAGTTACATCAACGAAAAGACAAAGGGCCCTGCGGGTAGTAGAACATTTAAGCACGATATTCACTCTCAGGCAGAGAACTACAGATTCAGCAGCAGGGATTATATTGCATCTTTGCAAATTAAGAAGCGACTGCATTGCAGCAGATCTGGGCTCGGTGTGAATGAAGTTCTAGAAGGCTCGCAAACAGGAAGCTCAACTATGTCTCTCCTTGACGGCTCCGTCAATGTGTTTATGAGCGCGGCTCTTGTAGAAGTATTGCGTCAAGAAGTTGGCCATTTAGCACAAGCAAGTAAAGCGGTCCTCTGGGAGCTGCTGGAAGGGCTGTAAAAACGCACTGAAGAAACAAGCCAAGTTTTTAGCAGCAAGAGTATCTGACAAAGATATCACCCACACCTTTATGTATGATGCCTTCCAGCACCGCATCTGACTCGAAACACGAAGCCCTTGACCAGTCTGTCACCGCACAAGCAGCGCCACAAGCTTCTAGAATGGGCGACACAGAGATAGGACCACCGTCGAAACCAAGCGATGGATCCACTGATGTCGAATTCGAGAAGGCTAGAAAGATGCATCAGGCGATGCCTCCTTTCGACAACTGTAGCAACAATTGAAATCTTGAATTCGGTCACAGATGACGGACAGTGCCATCAGAGCATACAAAGCGAGAGCAAGAGGCGTAGCCCCCAAAAAATTTTGATGCCACCTTTAAGTTGTATACTCAAGTGATATAGCCGAAGTCAAAAGTTGCATATTCATCTGACAGGTCGACAGTCCTCGGCTCGCCCCGGCGGAGACAGAAAAAGCGCCAAGTGGGGCTAGCAGCTTTCCCTTATAGTTCTGATTAAAATTTCCCGTTGACATCATCCCGCGCGGATAGTGTAGTGGTTAGCATGCGTGCTTCCCAAGCACGCGTCCCGGGTTCGAATCCCGGTTCGCGCAACTTTCCTCTACGCTGCGTACAGATTTCTTTTTTTGCCTTTTGTAACAACGTTCGTGGACACTTCAAAAATCATTTCAAACAATAGAAGTTCCCTTTTTAAGCTGACCAGGCTGTTTAGCAGATTTTTAAAGTGGCAATCTTAGTAATGCTGGTGACGGTACTCGTCCATCGGTCTCCGAGCTTGGGCAAATCACAGGCGCCGTAATCCATGCGTAATCAGAATTTCACCTTTTACACACGTCAAGCTGGTCGCCAAACAATGTCGCAACGGCTCGTGTTGCGGCAATTGACACGCCACACCTGGCAGTCTGTCAATAGGACCTCGTTTACCTCTGCGGCAGCGTGTCGCGGCTTTGCCTCTAAGCGGCCGCCCCTGCCGACAGTGCCTACATGTCCGTCGCCAACATGCGAGTGCGCGGAGATGCCCGCGATGCCGGAAGGGCTCGAAATTGATCACAAGAGCCCAATGAATGGTGTTATCGCGGGCTACGCAGAGCAGGTTCTCATTTGTACCGGCAAAGATGACTGGCCGTCTAAGATTGAAGAGGAGAATGGCGGCGACAATTTGGCAGCGGATTTGAAGGAGCTGTTTGGCCGCGGCGGCACATATACTGATGTTAGTCGATATCTATAACTCGAATGATATTGCTCGGACATTGCACTTGCTAACTTTTGATAGCCATTTCACAACATTGCGCTCATCAACAGCTCATTACCCAGCTCAGTCCCGCCACGCGCAGAGGTACAAAGTACGTCTGTCTATCTTTTGCCCAGTTTCAAGTACGTGCCTTTTCTACCGCGCGTCTCGTTTGACCACGTTCAAGCCCTCGCCAAGGGCTATCTGCTGCCAGAGAAACTGCACTCTGCCCACGACGGCCTCTCACCGGTGCATCGCGACATTCTCACCCGCAACGACGCCTACCAGAGCCTGCTCCACGGCGTCAGGGATGTGACTGACACTCTTGTTCTCATCTGCGGCCATGGTGGACGAGATATGCGCTGCGGTATTTTGGGTCCGTTGCTGCGCGACGAGTTTGAGAAGCAGCTTGAACGGAAGGGTGTCGAGGTTCTGCAGGGACCGGCACAAGTCCAGGCCGACACGGAAGGAAAGCAATTAGAAGGCAAAGCCAGCGTCCCCAAAAATACAGCGAGAGTTGGGCTGATTAGCCACATTGGCGGACACAAATTCGCGGGCAACATCATCATTTATGTGCCCCCGGGGAAGAAACTGGCGGATGGGTCATCGCATCCTTTCGCGGGCCACGGTTTGTGGTACGGCCGAGTTGAGCCAAAGCACGTGGAAGGCATTATAGAGGAGACCATTTTCCAAGGGAAAATTGTGGCAGACATGTTTCGAGGTGGCATCGATCCAGAGCGACGCATCCTGAGGTTATAGGCAACATGGAGCGATTAAATAGATGCATATAGAGAGACAGTGTACTATAGAGAAAGATTTTGTATGAATAGCATCGGCCTTGCTGCCTACTCTGCTTGAGCGGCGCCCATATTTCTTTTGCAAGTTTTCCTTAATTTTCTGCTTATACTTGGCGTTGGACGGGGTTGATCCCTGGCTCACAATGGCTTGACCCTAGCTGCCCTTTACTCTGAATCAGGAAGTGAATACCTTTTTTTAGACCCAAATGATAGAGTTTAAGTTGGTCTCAGGTCTTACTTCAGCGGCAGTGCTACTGTGAATAGTTGCATCTTTTGAGTTGTGTTCGCTGCGCTACATTAACGCCCGTTGATGCAGTCGGTGACTCTGCGTACAAACATTCAAAAAAACGATGGAAAAAACATTGAGGTAGAGTTAATTTATTGACCTCATGTTAACAGCAATCCATTTGGCGCACATGCCGGTTGTTGTATGTTGTAAGTCGATGCTACACGTGACTCCGTGCCAAGAAAACGACCTCATGATCTCATGATCTCATGATCTCAGCCTAAAAAAAAACATGTCCGACAGAAATATGCACGACCTCGCCAATAACCACCCCAGACTATAATAGTGAATAAACTTCGTTCGAGAATGATTCGGCAATAACAATACCAGCTCGGAATACATAGCTCGGCCGGATCGTGATGAATGGTCCACGGAGAGCAATAGGGGCGTGCGCCCGCAGGCTCACCGGACCTCCTACCTTGCAGTCCCTGCCCTATTCATCATCTTCTACCGCATCATGCACGCGACAATTGTCGACTCGACGGCCCTTCAAAGGGCCGAGTAGACATCAGGGACTTGGAAAGAGGCCTCTGCTAGCTCGCACTCTCAATCCTGCCGTGGTCGCCATACTACTCATCGGTGGCAGCGCCGTATACTATCTCACCTCGCCCTCGTCGCGAGAAAAGGTCCTCAACCAAGACACCTTTGTCCCTTATACAATCACCTCGCGAGAGGCCATCTCGGCGACATCCTTCATCTTTACCGTTGCGCCGCAGCACCCAAACCCGAGCCCGAGCTTCTTGACCGCCGCCGCCGACCCATCCAAGCCCGCAGCATGGCGCTACCCGCTCTGGTCCGTGGAATTCAAGCAGCCAGAGGTGCAAATCGCGCGAAACTACACGCCCCTCCCGCCTCTGCAAGGCGAGCGCCTAGAAGATGGCAAGCTGCGCTTTTACGTGCGTTCGATTCCCGGCGGCGAAATGTCCACGTACTTGGGCCGTCTGGGCGTCGGGCGCCAAGTCTGGCTGAGAGGGACGCATCCGGGATTTGACGTGGCCACTCGGCTCGGCTCGCAGAAAAACGTCGTGTTTCTCGCTGGCGGCACGGGGGTGGCTCCAGCCATGCAGGTGGCCAGGGCAGTACTGGACAGCCGCGAGGATGCAAACTTTACGCTGCTCTGGGCCATCAGGAGTCGGGAAGAACTTCAGCAAGCGCCTGATGCCCCTGATAAACGGCCCGTCTCATCATCTTGGTGGAACTGGTTTCGGGGCACTCCTCGGCCGCAGCCGACTCAAGTCGGCCATCCCATTACGGGCGCAAGCCCGCTTGGCCGACAACTGGACGAGATGAAGGCACGCTACGGGGACCGACTGCGCATTCACGTTGGCGTTGATGACGAGAGCAGTCAATTTCGCGAATCTCACATTGCAGATGTTATACAAAGCTCAGCTGCAGCACCGACGCTTCCCAGCGCGCCAGACTGCCAGCCGCACAATCAAAAGTTCCACGCGCCGGCCTCGGAGTTTGAGCCGAATGGGGCACGCCCGTGCACGTGCGAAACAGGCAGTCGAGGTAAGAACCTGCTCATGGTCTCGGGCCCGCAAGGGTTCATATCGCATTATGCAGGGCCCAAGGTGTGGCTAGGTGGCGTGGAAACACAGGGTGCTGTCGGCGGTGTAGCTGCGGAACTGCGTAGGAGGCACTCGGGCTTTGCTGCTGACTGGCTTGTATTGAAGTTGTAGAAGAAGGACGGGTGTAGATATATTGTGTAAGCTGGTGTAGAAAATTAGTCACGTACTAGTCATGGACCATTCGCGGGAGTCATTACTTACATGTTCCAAGCAGACACTGTGACTACTAATCCTTGGTCCTGCATCGAATCGAGACGCGCTTGGTAGCAGGTGTCACTTATCCACCATGATTCGGCTACTGAAGAATAGAAGTCCGTCAATTGGATAGGTCTAAGAAGGCGTGGAATGTTGAAGCAAACATGGCTTATTGGACTATGTGACAGTCAGCATTGAATCCTACAAGGTTAGTATTTGACAATAGAGGTAGGACAACTGCTGACATTGGAACTTATTGCAACGGCGCTGTGACAGGTACGCACCTCAAAACAGGGACTAATCAAGGTGAATTTGGAATGGTATAAACTACTTTAAAGTCTTTCGAGACAATAAACCGATACTAGGCGTGAAGCAGCCCAACCCAGACAGATCTAGCCAAGCGAAGTGGCTTTGTTGGGCGGCGCCACTGCGGCGCCACCGGCCCCAATGTCCGGGGATGGCTTGATTATATTATACAAAAGTTGCAGTCGGAACTCGCCGACGGTGAGTGCCGCCGGCCTTCGATACATAATATTCTGGTGAAAAAGCGGAATCGAACCGCGTTGAAATCACTGCAACTAAAGTAATATTCCCCGCGAACTGGGCATTCCGCTGTGAATGATGGACCTCTCTAGTCTAAATACTTTGTCCGCAACTTGACACCGAAAAGCAATCAAAAACTAGTTGTTGCATTCGGTATCCGATTCAGCCTTGCGGGTCATGGCTTGATACCCGTTTTGGTTTGCCAGCCCGCCAAGAGCGCGCGCGCCCATATCAATGCTGTGTAGATGGAGTGAGCCAGAGTAGAAAGGGTCGCGCTGAGGAAGAACCAAGGGAACGAACGGTCCGACGGCTATGCAGGCTAGACCCGAAATGCACGTTCTGCGAGTGCTCTGCAACAAGGGACATCGACATCACCGTCTAGGTCGCAACAGCAGCGTTCAATGGTCTATTTCAGGTCATGGGCCTAGTTTTACTGGGCGAATTCGCAACGAGGCCGAAAAGGGTCAAGGTCAAGGTCCGCCTGTCAGCATAATGGTACCCTATTGCCTTTTAGCTTGCAGGGAAACGGAAACCGCAGCATCACCGAGCGGGATCTAAGTCAAGCTGCCGAAAAAAAGAGATCTCCTCAGGGTTACTCGATTCCGCGTCCCTCCGCCTCGACGCCCTCGATGCATCTTCAAAGGTGCGAGGGGCTTGTTGACACCCCTCTCCCATCCTCGATCAGGTTGTCCCCAAGTCATGAGTCGGCTAGTTCCAAGCGGGAATGAGATGATCATAGCTGCATAAGAGGCCAAGTCGGAATGGGGTAGATGCGTCGGAGAAACTGCTAATAAGACGGAGAATTATGCAGTTCCTGCCATTTTTGTCATGTAGTCTTTCTACGCTTTTTGGTGATGGGATGTCAGAAGGTAATATCAACTGTTAGGTCACCGAACCCGGCGGCCACGTTTCCGCAATATACACTTAATGGCATGATGCTATCCCAATTAGCTCGGTGATCAATACATTCACGGTCCACCACCGAGTTGACCAATCGCTTAACTTCATTCTCGATGCAATGCTACCTTGGTCTGACAACGACAGAGCGGTCCGGGTGCGCACAATCGTATAGTCTCTACGGTTGGGCGGAATGGGACAGATAATTTCCCCTTTCGACATGTAAAACTCGGCGAAACTATGAGACTGGCGACCATCTTGCTCGAAACCGACCCCGTCAGGATTTAGATTCGCAGATTATATAAGAGCTGTGTAAGTCCAGTCTCGTAGGACCTTTCTCGAATAGAATCACAGAGTAGTTTGATCAAGGACCAATCTCATCATGCTGTCCAAGCCTGTCCTCCCTGTTCTCGGTGCCCTCATCGGCACTGTAGTCGCCAATCCTATCCAGCGCGCCGTCGCCGAGGCTGCTGCCGATACGCCCCAGGTCGTCTTTTCCCCTGCGGCGCCCAATGCCGGCAACGGCAACAAGATTGTCACTGACCATGACGACCTAACTCTCCTCCAACAAGACAACTTTTACTGGACTCACGAGGGTGAGGGTAAGTTTTTTTCAACACCAAAAACAAAACCCCGTCTCAACAAAAAAAAAACTGTTCCAGACGCTGACAAAAGATTTTTGGACTCAAGGGCTTCTCGCCAACATGACCGTCACTGCCAAGCCCGCCTACCGTCTGCTCAACGAGCACAACTTTGCAGACCTGGTCCGCTCTGTTGACTGCTCCAACGCCGAGCACATTATCAAAATTGAGTTTGACAGCGCCTCTACCGTCGCCAAAGCCAAACAGGCTTGGAGCTGGGTCAGCGAGAGCGACGCCAACACGCTCATCTATGTCGTCGACGCCCCCGGCTGCGGCGGCGAGTACGGCCGCCAGCCCTACCACGTCGGCGCCGTGACCTACGACGACGGCGCTGATGCTGATGCTGCCGTCGTCAGTCTGGCTGTCCAGGCCGCTGGCCAGTGGAGCGACTTCATCGAGGATGCCACTGTCCACATTGGCGGCGACGTCGAGGCGCAGAAGCTCAACCGCCGCGCGAGCTACTCCAAAAAGGCCAAGATAAGCCTCGAGCGCGTCTTCAACAAGCACTTTTACGACGCGACTATTGGCCCTGCTCATCTTTCCGTCGACTGCTCCGACTGCGGCACCCACGGCAGCCTCGAGACAGACATTACCGTCTCCACCAAGCACGGCTTCAGTGCCTCTGCCGTCACCGCTGATAATGTCAGCGTGCGTCTGGCTGTGGCCGTGACCGCTTCTGCTGCCATTAGCACCTCTCACCTGTCCCAGAGCATCGAGATTGTCAAGTTCCCCCTCGCGGTGTTCAAGGTGGCCGACATTGTCAAAATCACCCCCGAAATCACCCTCGACATTGTCATTGCCGTCTCTGACATCACGGGCAGCATCACCAGCGTCGTCGGCGCCGAGCTCGACTTTGCCAACGGCCAGTCCATTGCCATTGGCAAGGGCTCCACGGGCCTCGATGCCCAGTTCAAGCGCATCGGACCTACCTTTTCCGGCAAGGTCGACGCCACCGCCCGCATCAACCCTCTTCTCACGCTGGACCTCTCCGGCAAGATTCTCGGCAAGCACGTCACCGGTGGTCTGGGTCTTGCTGCCCCTTACCTTGCCTTTGCCGTCGGCGCTGATGTCCACGAGCCCAGCGCCTGCTCCAACACCAACTCTGTCCATTTCTCCCTGGATGTCGGTGTTGAGCTCGCTTCGTTCTACGGCTTTGGCAAGCCTGGCGATGAACCCCACAAGAAGGTCATCTACCAGAAAGATCACCCTCTTCTGAAGGAGTGTATCGCTCTGTAAGGGAACTGTGATGAAGTGATGTGGAAAGAAATTATGGATCTACTGCCATATCTTGCAAAGTGAATAGTTTCTGATGTAGTGATGAGCATGAACAAGTATATATGAGTTTCAGAAAATCGTATCCCCAAGTTGATTCATGCAGATTCTCACAATAGGACAATCGAGCCGATGCTAAACTTTGCCCTGTAGTAAAAGAAGAATAGAATGGAGAAAGCTGCCGACTTCTATTCCGTACTCGTTTTTTTTTCGTGATTAGCGACTGGTCGAATTGTTGAACTGCCCTACCATCGCATGCACGACAGAAGCTACCTCTTGCGGTCGGGACAGGAATGGGCTGTGGCTTGAGCCTCGAAGCTCACGGACTATCCAATTGTCTCGACCACCAGCACCGTCAACAAAGGCCATCTGGTTCTCAAAGGAGACGAGATTGTCATCCGTGCAAGCAATGTACCCCAGCTTGCCAGCGTAGTGGTCCCCATCCTCTTGCCACGCCTGCGGCGGCACAATGCCCATGTTGGCCGCCATGCTCTGCGGGCGAAGCTGAGGAATGGCCCAGTCGGCGCGGCCTTGTGAAACATCAGGCGGGAAAAACATGCTTTGCGGGTCCTTTGGGACAAACAAGCCATCCGATGGTGAGTCCAAAACGACATAGGGTAGCCCATTCATCCGTCTAATCTCCGCGCCCTGATCCATGCCCCCGGGGAAGAGGAATGCACAGAGAGCAACCAAGCCCAGCACGCCTCCTGCGAGCTGCTTGCCCGCTCGCTCTCGCTCAGAGAGCCCAATCATCGCAGCGCAGCCGATGGGGCCTGCGTACGAGTGCCCTACGACGACCACGCGCTTGCCCACCGACAAGAGTGCCTCTAAAAGACCGCGGACCGCGTTGGCGTCGTCATATTGCGTCTTGCCAGCAATACCCTGAGCGGATGGCAGATGAATCGTTTCTACTTGGTAGCCGAATTTTTGCAGCTCGGGGATTTGATGCTTCCAGCACCAAGGCCCGTGCCAGGCGCCATGGATCAGAACAACAGTAACAGGTTCGCTCGGGGACATGTGTGTGAAGATGGGATTATACAAAAGAGTTGGGAAATCTGCTAGCAGACCTGCTGCGGGCTTATATGTAGATTGGGCATTTCCCTAATGAGGGGATGCACGTGCACAGCAAAATGCCAAGACTCGGATGTATTTTTCAAGCTTATTATTCGGAGCTTGAGGCAGCGTAGCATTCTGCAATGTAGAGCCCTTTGCAACTGTGTTCATCATTTACATTAGAACTGGTAAACAACGTTGTCAGGGCTAATTTGTTCTAGGACCTGGCAAGAAGCTAGTTAAGCGAGACCCTCGTTGCTTGATTCGAACTTTTGATAATGGCCAAGTTCATGCGGTGCGACGACGATGGATTCTAAGCCGAAAATCTTGTACATGGCAAATAAGCAAACCAATGCTCATTATATTGACGTGCGCCGAGTGGGCGCATATGCTGCTCAGTTGTACCATGAAGAAGGATAATAGTTGACCATTCGATTTGTGCCGCACTCTACCAATGAACAGTCGACAATGTTGATACAAGCGCTTCGTATAACTCGATGTACATTTCGCCCTGCTACTGTCTCAAGGAGAAGCTATATCTCTCCCCACGGCCCAGGTACACTACGCGGTCCTGCAAACCCGCTTCGTCCACTTCCCTTTTAAACTCGGCAAGAGGAGAAAGAAAGACGTCGTAGTCGTCATAGTGAATCGGTATAGTAGTCTTGGGGTCCATCAGCTGCATCAAGCGCCGTCCCTGTTCCCCATCCATGGTGACCATGAGCAACGGCAGCGCTGGGCCCGGAATCGTGGTCCCGCCGAGGTGCACGAGCATCAGATCAAGCTGCTTATCCTCGAGCCACGCCGGAATCCTTTCGAGGTCATCCACCAGCAGCGTGTCCCCCGAAATGTAGATTCTGTAACCGACTTGCAGCTCGTCGCTATCCCCGGCGCCGCCTAAGTGCCCAAGCTCCAGCAGCCAGCCATTCGTCGGCGGCACGGCCTGCAAAAAGTCGTTTGCGGCGGATATAATGCCCGGCGGCACGTGCTTTCCCGGCATACCGGTGACTTTGACACCCCGCTGCTCGTCTATGCGTAGCATGGCGCTCTCAAAGGCGTCCAGGCCGGTAACCTGCTCAAATGGTTCATCCTGCTGCTCCTTTGCGGCGAGATGCTGCTGCGCGTGCGGCGTCGTCACAATCGGAAACGCGCGGTTCAGCGACTTTTCGACATGCCGGTCGAAATGGTCCTCGTGGTAGTGCGAGAGGAGGATGCAGTCGAAAGCGGGCAGCTTGTCGAGCTGAGTCGCCGGCTCGGTGCGGCGCGTCGCGGTGACGCCGGGGCCGAGATGGACGTGGTCGCCGGCGTGTAGGAAATTCGGATCAGTCAGGATGCGGAAGCCCTTCCAATCAATGATTGTAGTGGCGGTTCCGATGAAGAGCACGGAACAGTCATCTTTGGTGTTGGAGGGCTGGAGTGTGGCGGAGCTGCGATCTTCTAGTTTCTCGTGGTCACTCCGTAAAAGAGGAACGCGTTTGCTCTCTTCCAACGCAAGGTGTTTGATGGTCATTTTCTCTTTTTTTTACTGTTTTGAAAAAAAAAGCAAAAAAAAAAAAAAAAAAAAGAGGAGAGAGAGAGAGAGAGAGAATGCGAA